TTTAACAAAGAATTAATTTATTATTTTGTTTATTTCATTATCTATTCTCGTTCTCAAAATTAAAGCAAAAACTGGTTCGAGAAGAATCATACAAATCCATTAACTGATTAAATAACTTAAAATTATTGAAATTCCCCTGACAAAAGTTGAACAAACTTGAAAAAAAGATGTATCCAAGCGGTAAGATAGTCAACAGCAGTAGGACTCCAAAAAAAGTTATTATGAAGCGATAACCTTAACGTGTGGATGAAAAAGAGACGACTTTAAACTAAACAATATTGGAACATGCAACATCGTAAATTACGACACCATTACATAGTTCTTGGAATGTAAACTAAACATTGAGTTGCATACTCATATAGACGTGTAGATATAAGTTTGTACATAGGTAATAGATAATATTGCTTAGCGCCAAATAGTATCGCTAATAGCTCCCTTATCCTACTTAAAAGTTCATACAACATTATATCCTGCGAATATTGTAGATGAGAAAGTTTATATGTTTGCTACTCAATCCAGCAAAAACGGCTTAAATGATTTGGATGAAATTTTACACACAGACACCTTATAATCTAGAAAGAGACATAGTACTTTTGAACCCCGAAAATGTTAGGTTCCTGAGGGATTTTCAATTTTCCAATATCCAGGCAACGAAGTCGCAGGCACAGCTAGAGTTCTATATTATTTTTACCGAATTTAAAATAGCCCATCCATGAATATTTACACCATGTCAAATTTATAACTGACATAGGTGTACGTATGTATGTATGTTCTTTTTATCACGTCTTATAATAAAATAAATTGTTCATTATTTTGCCTGTCATCTTTACTTAATCATACGTCCGTTATGTTTTAATATACTTTGAATCACCTATGCTTATATACAATTTCATTATAAACACTGATTCGTTGTTATCTTGAATTTGTTAAACACAGCTTGGCCTCAGTTTGTTACTTATAGTGTGCACCCATTGAACAAATTTCATAGCGGCCGGTTCACCTTTATAAAGGTTTCGAAGGATTCGATTTACATCATCTACTGGCTCTTACTGGGTAGACCATAAAGCTGATTTTCAACTGCACATCAATTACGTGCTCTTTATCGTAAGTACTGCAAACGAGTACACACTCGAGATAAATAGCCTCGATTGTAGTTCTCTACTTATTCTTCCGGTTACCGCTCGACAAATTACCGAACCGGCCTGCACACCGTAGCACTTCCGACTGGATTTATATGTCAAGATCTTTTGACCGTGGCTATTTAAGGTCAACAATGTTCATTATATTTATTTATCATTTGTAATGCATTAAAATTGTTCGGACAAAATGAGCAGTCGCCATTGAGTCGTTAATTCAACTTACCGTCGGTCGGTGAGCCGACTTGAAGTTTATCATAGTTAGTCAAGTCAGCGTCACGTACCGGACTTCATTATTAAGTGAAATGTTTAATTACTTGTTGAGTGCAAACATTGGAAACGTGACTGCGTATGCGTAATTAAATAGTGTTGTGTTTTAATATAGGAAAGCTTTAACGTTTGTGAGTAGAATTGAAGTTCGTAGAAACGTGAGTTTACGATAAGAATATTCAGACCTAGAGTAGCCTAGATACTTACTAACGCTGGATTTGGGTTGGATTCTCATTTATTGATATCCACCTCTTTCCTGATAAGGTATTAATTAATCCACTTATAAATACTGTCGTTGATATGTCGTTGATTAACCATTTATAAGTTTTGCATTTAGTTAGAGAGTACAAGACACTGGTTGAATTTATTTCAACGAGTGTCTTATTATGTCTGGTGTTCATTGAGGTATTCATTACGCCACTGTGTTCGCACTACATAAATTTGTCTATAAACAGAAGCAAAGTTAAATTCGCAAACTACCTACTTACTTGCAGAACGAAATTGTGCAAGAGCACAATCTCAACATCACGAGCAGTTATAAATTTACTAATATAATTACCACAAAGGTGCAACTATATCCGTTTCCCGAAGGTAGTTTCGCAACGTGAATGCACACAAAACTACGTCATTCTACCAGCTTTTTGCATTGCATTCATTTCACGATGCGTGTCTCGTATCTTCAATGTAACCAATATATTGAGCAACTACTTTACACAACTATACTCCTTTACAAAAAAACGGACACTCCAAGAAATTTGCGTTCCAAGGCCGATTTCAATTAATTCTAACGAATTTAATTGTTTGACGTAGCACTTTTACTGGAGATCTTGGAAATGAATATGCGTTAAGTGAATTATGGGAGATACCTTCGATTTTGGTCAATTTTGTACCTTCATACAATTTCTCAAAAAACCTAATATTATACTTAAAAAGACTCATCATCAAAATCTCAAATTCATAAAAATTGCTGTAAATCTGAATTAAAATAGGGAATCTGCGTATAAAGAATCGTTATTACTTAGACGCCATTTGTCATTGACTGACACATGACAGCTGATATTATTGGTTTAAATGCATTTCCTTTATTAAGTTTGTTTATATCAAAAATCATTCATTTCCGTAGCTAATGGTTATGAACTTAAAAATGCACTTACATTCAAAAATATACGGAAGAAGCATATAATAGACACCCTCTGCCGCATACACTGGTCATTGGCTTAATCTTTAAGGAGCCATTAAAAATTAAATTAAATTAAAGACGGACATTAACCATATAATACTATCTGTTGCCCTTAATTTAAATGTTTGAACGACATTTGTGTGTGGTACAAGTGGATAATAAACTCCATTAATATTTTTGATGAATTCGGCGTACTTTTCTAAACATAAATGCATGATAATACTTGAGGAACAAAATTGGGCAAAGCTGTATGGAGAAAAGAATGGATCCTTTTTCATAAATTTTTGATTAATTCAATAAAATCGATTTAGGCAAATTTTCAAACAATAACAAGTGATCTAATCAATTATAAATACCTGAAAAATTTATTAAATAAGAAGTAGTTGTAATAGTTAGTTACGCGCACAATTTAAGATTTTCTTAGTGGCCATTTCGTGCCATCACAAAGAGCAACTTTAAATTAATAATAAATTTATAGCATTTCCTGGCAACTTGCGTACCAGCAGTCTTCCTTCGGCAACATCTTGTCTCTCGCACTTATGAACGCAGGTCGAGGCTCTGTACGTACCTACGGCCCGGCACTGCTAACTGCCGCCCTCCCCCAATGTGTTATTCGAACGTAAGCATTTAATGAATGTTATAATTTTATATATAGATATTAAAAAAATAACTTGTTAAAATCAAAAATGTCAGGAAATGTCTAGTTTCTTTACTTTACGAAAAGCGGTAATCCCACGGCTCCGTGCATCGTTTTCTATCCAAACCTGTTTACCATTAAAATAAAAAAGAACCTTTATGTAATATTATTATGAAGTCATTTAGAATCCTGAATATAGAAATTTACCGTCAATATTTATAAAGACAATCAAGTAACTAATTACTACTGCAAGGCCTCAACCGTGCCAAAGATGTTCATAACATAATTATGACGTCATTCACAACGAACGCTGTCGTGCAATTCGTAATGCATGTCAAGTACAAAAGTGTTGATTAGCATTTTAAGTCGTTATCGAAGCGCAGTATATAATTTGCACTTATACCGATGTCATCTTAACGTGGTCGTGGCTCATAACTGCAAAACTCATAAACAGATGTAATAAAAAAAATTGCAGTATAGCTAGCGCACGCATCGGCGATTTTAATAACAGGAACATACCTCTTTACTTAAACATACTCAGTGTCACTTTAGGTAAGATTAAAGACTGTCCTTATATGCAGTGGCCTCAATAAGATTTGCAGTCAACGTCTTGAATAAAATAATAATATTTTATGATATCATTGTGATGATGGTACAAGGTGTTCAAGTGTACACTGAAGAAGGTTAATGATGAGCTAGCTACAGGATGTCTTACATTAACTATACCTATCTAATTTTGCTTAGAACTTGACTGTTTCTGTTTTCCCGTTATTCACTATTATTTTATTGTCTTTTAATTTTAATACACGTTTAGAGGTCACTGGAAAAATACATTATTTAAAACATGCATTTATAATTCTCTCTTGGAATTTTCATGTCCTATGTTACTACTTTGAAATCAGAAAAATATATTATAGCAGAGCCCACGCTGCTAAATAGGGACTTACTCGAGCGTCGTTGGGACATATTGAATTGTGAAGGATAGTTGCTAAAAAGAAAAAAAGTTGATATAATGTGTCGTTTCGCGGGTGGGGAGAGCGGGTATAACTACGAATACGCTACTGGGTGGAAATTTTACACGCGTAAATGCACGTTACCCTACATGCTTGTCTGGCAAGGGGTTGGAACTATCAAAAGTGTCTGGCTAATGAGGAAACATCATCTTTCATCTACTTATTACCCAAGTATTATTTATAAACATAAGCTTTTATACTATAACGTAAGTAAAATTATAATTTCATGAACAGTAAGGTTGTCTCGCAATAAATAACGTGATTTTTAATAATATTCTAAAGGTAATACCATAAAATCGCACTTCATTATTTGATGTATTTAGATCGGAATTTTACACACCTTTAGTGACGTTTACCTGCCAAAGCCACTGTAACCCAAACTTCATAATGGTTCATCGTTCTTAATTATGTGGGGAGCATGCGCTGACAAACTTTCAGCTTTTATAAAATAACATAGGTCTGGGGTTCACGGGCGCTTAGACTATAAGTACATTCCACTTATAAACGGATCCAACACAAGTTTTTAACAACAACTTATTGAAGTCATTTCATCGTTGTGTTGTATTGTATATATTTATTTTAATAAAATATTTTTGTTATAATTTGAGGAAATGACTTATCTTCGAAGTCGTGGATAAAACGAGAAAGTGTTGAGTAACCGAAAACTGTCCGTCTCTCCGTAGGAAATTGATATCAATGTAGTATTGTCATCATCGTATTTCATTCTAAAAAAATATGAATTTTGTTTACAGGCTGGGTGAGCGATGAAGGGGTGGTTCGACGCGTTCCGCGAGGAAGGCGGGCCGACTCTTTATGCGTACCACAACCGGACGGCGGTGGCGGCCGACGTACCAGCGCTCGCGCTAGTACTGGCCGCGCTCACGCTATATCTCGCCTTCCTCGCCATCTTCCCAGGCATCAGGAAAGAGGTGAGTCTATAAATACCTTTATTTCTATGCGTACCACAACAGGACGGCGGTGGCGGCCGACGTACCAGCGCTCGCGCTAGTACTGGCCGCGCTCACGCTGTACCTCGACTTCCTCGCCATCTTCCCAGGCTTCAGGAAAGAGGCGCGTCTACAAATACGCATAACGTTATGCGTACTCCAACCGTACGGCGGTGGGGGCAGACGTACGAGCGCTCGCGCTAGTATTGCCGCGCTCACGCTGTACCTCACCTTTTTCGTCACCTTCCCAGGCATCAGGAAAGAGTTGTACCTCCAAATACCTGTCTTTATGCGTACCACAACCGGACGGCGGTGGCGGCCGACGTGCTAGGCTAACGTTAAGAGCTGGTTTCTTGGCCATTTTACAAGAAAATAATATACTTAAATATTTATTTTGATACCATGTAATTATTACCATCTATCAATTTACATAATCTAAAGTTCTTGATTTCTATTGTTACCTTGTGTTACTAATGCCTTTATTAATTCACTGTTTCAATTTATTGCAGAGGTTCACGACGTTCACCATAGTCACACTCAGCCTTTTCGTTGGCACCGTTATATTAGGTAAGAACACAGTCATTCTATCATAGTTGTAATCTAATGAGAGAGATCTCATTCACGTGCCTACCTAGATGTCGTGAAATCGTGTTGCTGACGAAATTTTGGCATAAACCAAATTCAGGACGAGTCGACATCGACATTTCGTGATTTAGACGACACGTTTCATTGATCGGATTATCTGCCATCGAAACGGATTTTATTTGGAATACCACTCTATCTTTATTAACAACGAAACGCAAACCGTGAGTACATTTGTCTAAGTTAATTAAAAATTAGGATTGCCTAAACAAACTCCTTCTGAAACATAAAACTTTTATGACTGAAGTAAAGGATAAGTACGCGATAAAATCTAATTGCACTACCAAGGTCTATAACTTGAAGTTTATTACGCAATTTTCTTAAAGGTTCATGAAACCAAAATTCATAAAATACATACTTATACAATTACACGACATTCCCTTATCGAGGTGACAGAGAATAATAAAATAAGTACAAAATTGTACTGAAAAAGTTCAAACTTAAAATCCTGGCATTTTGTAAGATTTATATTTTCTAGTAAAGCATAAGATTTATTAGCACCATTGGTTACGACATGACATATTTTTCAACTGTTTCAAATTCAATTCAATATTAAACTCAGATTTTAATGACGTGCTTGATTGGACGCGTACGAACTTAAAAAATATTATTAGAAAAAAAGTTGCCCTAAGAAGGCGCCTTCACTCACGCAATCACTATTCACTGTGAATGCTGATCCTCCACCGTGACAGTAGGCACGTATCCAGGCTTGTTTTTCTTTATTTTATAAACACACACCAATTAGCCTAGCCCCAAAATAACTGTAAGCCTTGTGTTATGGGATGCTAGGTAAACGGATAGAATACATAAACTGTACATATAGACTGTAAGTATATTTATATAGAAATACATATTAAACATCCATAACTGGAGTACAAATGCTCGTATTCATCACTCAAACATCTGCCCCCACCGGGATTCGAACCCGGGGGGACCTCTCGAGTCGGCGACACCATGAAACCCAGCGTACAAACCACTCGGCCACGTAGGTCGTCAAGTATTAAAAAGAAGCAATCAAATGTGAAAGTACGAAAGCACCAAAATTTTGATAGCTTTGTTTTGAGATCATAAACTGTGAATCCATGTTTTGTCATATGTCACCATACATACAGCATCGATATTTACATTGTTCACATTGATAAAGGATGCCTATAACGAAATTCATCGACGTCTTGACACGACCTCGTTTGAATTCTGAAAACGATCTTCTTTGTTTCAGCATCAATATACATGATACTTGATCGCCGCCTTAAAACCATTTGAAAGCAAAAATAGTAGTAGCTATCACGCTACGATAATATAATTTGCACGACCTCAATCAATGGTATTAATGTTAGTGAAAAATCTGTATTTAACTTTACTACCTTATTTATTTAAACACATCCAAAATCTAATTTATTAATCATGAAAATTATCATTCAGATCATTGTACGAATTAGACTATTAGATTCCTATCACAAATATTGTGAAGTTATAATAAAAACAATAACTAGATAATAACAAACTCAATTTGTTAACTATGCATTGTTAATGATCGGTTATTTATTGATCATATGATATTGGTTTCGTCACCGCCAATCACTTGATAATAATATCAATGACACTACTCTCAATTAAAGATATCAAAATACTCATATTTACTTCACATATATCAAGGCTTCAAACACAATTTAAATTAATAATTTTAAATTGACTAATACACCTACAGTCTTCTAGATACAATGAAACCTAATTAAGCTTAAACAATGAGCTTATAATTAGGTACCTTTTACAACTAACAATGACTTGCAAAAAGCTTTGATAAATCGCAATAAATAGTTGTACTTCATGTAGAGATATTTAAAACAAACCTTATAGGATGTTATTATATAGTTCGCGTTATTTCTAAAACAAACTTGAGATTAGCTAGAAGGAATTATTCACAAAAACCAAAGCAAATCTTATTAGTAGGTTTAAAGATAAGCTGAAATGATTTGTACGCTTCAGTATAATTTAGGTGTGTCCGTTAGTTTCGGACATTATTTATTCATTTGTTTTCCTATCAACTTTGGTAACCTGCTTCTTATGCTACTTGAAAATCACTGGCGGTTAATCGTAAAGATTACGTTAGCATCTAATTACTTATCTGTGGTGAACACTAAGTTTAACGCTCCGGTGTAAATTGACCAATGATTGTTGATGAATAATTTCGTAAATATATTGAAAGAAACATCCTTTACCGCAAATCGTTTGTTTCTAAGTGAATAAATACCAAAATCTATGATAATAAAAAACAAAGCAGTAAAAGCTGCCATCAAATGACATCATCATAATTATCATAAACTTTCATTCGTGTTTTCTACAACGTAACGCGCTATAACAAAGCCCTTTAAAGTATAATTTTATAGCTGATTTAGAGCCGGCGAACAAAACGGTATAATTAAATAAAATAAAACATTTTTTCGATTCGATATCAGGCTGAATCGAATCTGCGACCTTCGCCCTCCTGGAAAATGTACTGATCGCTAAGCTACCAGTCGAATTTCTTCTAGTACCTATATTAAATTAGGTTTAGAGCTGCAATATAATATACCTTTAATCTATGGGATTCTTAACAAACGAAAGGACTTATTTTTCCATGGGCAGATCTGCTAAAATTTTCCCCTTCGGCATTTTTCGAAACCAGTTTCGAAAAAAGAATTCACATCCACTTTTATAGTTTCATAATGCACACGAAATCGCAGGATAATGCTAAGTTCTCTCATATGATTCCGATTCCGTTTTTTTTTTGTCTTATATTGCAGTGTGTAAGCACAGTTCGTCATGGCACGTGGCGGGGTCCCGCGTTTCCCGCGCCGCGTACCGCGCCTTCTCCGCGGAACGGCTGGACTGCTGGCTGGCGGTTCATGTGGGCTTGGGACACGTCAACGTCACGCTCACTGGTGAGGTTCAACCGGCTAAGTATTTCTGCTGAGTATAGTGCGATTCAAACTTAATGGCGACTATGAAATTACCGCAAGTCGTGACTGGGTCGGGCGTCTCCTGTGCCGCGTACCGCGCCTTCTCCGTGGAACGACTGGACTACTGGCTGGCGGTGCATGTGAGCTTAGGACACGTCCACGTCACGCTCACTGGTGAGGTTTACCTAGTTCAATTACCTAGTTCAATATCTTTACTAGGTACCTATACTGTCAATCTAACGTAATGGCAGCTGAGAAGTTAGAGCAAGACGAGGTCGGGTCGCGCATCTCCAGTGTCACGTACCACGCCTTCTCCGCGGAACGGCTGGACTGCTGGCTGGCCGTGCATGTGGGCTTAGAACACGTCAATGTCACGCTCACTGGTGAAGTTTACCCGGCTGTCATTTTAATTATTGATCACCTATCTTATGGTCTGATAATTCGAAAGTCCCTTCGCTTCCGCGATAGCAGACTAATTCCATTAACCCACTGCGCCATCGATGAAGAGCAAGTCGCAACGCAGTAAATGTAAAATAAAAATCAGGGCACGCGCCGCCGCACGCGGTATGTCACTGAAATGAAACTGCGCTTTATTGCGCTCGCTGCTAACTTCACAGATGCCATAAACTTTTTATTTTACACTGTATCTGATAAAGCAGTAGTATTTATGGAGCGACTCTATCCTCATTTGACTGCAGAGCTATCCTCGTTATTCGCCTTAAAAAAACTTCATTGTCTAGTGTAATAACGGTGTAATGGTAATTTATCTTAATTAGAAAACAATCGTTTTATTTTACAGCGTTATCATGGGGCAATACAACTATAGGTGACCCCGGCGTGGACTACAACGAGCAGTTCCGATGGGAGGAGGCGGGCGCGATGCAGGAGTGGTACCGCGCCGGTCTAGAGCGGGGCCTGCCATACCCAGTGCTGTCAGTTGCGGAGCACTTTGCAGCTCAACACGAGGGCTTCGAGTGGGGGGCCAAGTACCGAGCTGCGGGGTACACCACCTCTACTCTATTATGGTACGAAATTAATCTCAATTAAAAAAATATTTCTGCTGGGAGGAGGCGGGCGAATGGTACCATGCTGGGCTAGAGTCAAGCGAGGCCTGCCGTACCCAGTGCTGTCGGTGGCCCAGCACTTCGCAGCTCAACACGAAAGCCAAATACAGTACACCACCTCTACTCGGTTATGGTACCAATTTAATCACACTTTACAACATTTCTGCTGGAATGAGGCGAACGATAAGAACATTACTGCTGAAAGGTGGCGGACGATGAGTGCTTCAGTTAACGAATTGTCACGCGAGCTAGCTTTGAGTGGCCATACAAAACTTAATGGCGGCTGTGAAGTTTGCGCACAGTATAAAAAATGTAGGTGCGCGCGGGGTGTCACTAAATTGCGACTGCGTTAGCAGTGAGAGAAACTGCTCTAACTGCTAATTTCACAACTGCGTAAAGTTCGAATCTCATTACACTCGTTGATATCAGTGGCGGAACACTTAACCACCCAGCACGACTTTTGAGCATACCAGCCGAGATATTAATTACCTTCTGACGTAGTATGGACTTAATCGCGACCCTCAATTGACTTTAACCCGGGGAGTTCTCAGAAACAAGTCGGTATTAAACATAATATTATTTTATTGCAGGACAGCATTAGCGTTTTGGCTCCTAATGAACTTGCTGCTAGTGGTAGTGCCACGGTATGGCGCGTATGCGATGGCTACGGTCGGTGTGACTCTGTGCGCGGCGGCGGGCGGCTACTGGGCGTCTCTACCGCACGCGCCGCTTATTGTGCGACTCGACGGAGCGATGCTATTCTTCTCGCTAGGATGGTGCTTCTGGCTGGTACTCATCGCAGGTATTATCCTCTTTGCTTTTCTTTCCTTCGTATATATGTTTTGCCTACTAATGAACTTGCTGCTAGTGGTCGTGACACGGTATGGCACTTAAGCGTTGGCGACAGTTGGCGTGATGCTGTGCGCGGTGGCAGAACGATGCTGTTCTTCCCGCTACGTTGGTGTTTCTGACTAGTACTCAAAGCAGACATTATTCCCTACACTTTCATTCTCTTTTCGTATCGTGTTTCGTGGTAACTTGCTGCTAGTGATGGTGTCACGTTATTACACGTACATGATGGCGATGGTTTGCGTGACGTTGTGCGGGCGGCTACTGGACGTCGCTACTGGACGTCTTTACCTCACGCTCCCGTCGTCGTCGATGCTGTTCTTCTTGCTAGGATGGTGCTTTTGGCTGGTACTCATCGCATGTATTGTTCTCTCTGACCTCCAGAAAAAAAAAACTATGTCCGTACGTGGCTTAAAATTACTTGCCGACTTATGATCTGACTTGTTGGTATTACAGATAATTATGATTCCTATAATATTTCAGGTAGCATCTGCGTGGTTGTAGGCCTGCTGATAGCCGCACTGGACCTGGCATGGCCGCATCGGTTCTCGACGGTGCTTGAAGTGGACTACGACACGCCGTACGACAGACACGTGCTCATTGTTGACAGCCGGCAGAGAGCACGGCCGCAAACCCAAAGCTCTCTACCGTCTAGAATACTCAGGTTAGAACTTGATGTGATTTATTAGATTGCGAATTTTCGTAATCACATCAGAATTGAATTATTTATATTTGATTTGTCATCATCTTCAGCATATTAATGTTGCCACTTATGAGGCACAGGCCTTTTATTAATGGGTGCTAACGCCTGCATATACAAAACTAGGATCAACCGCTTAATGTGCCTTGCAAACTCTTCCAAAAGCAATAACGAGCTCGAGATAGTGAAGTTTTGGTCATTTCATCCTGAAATTCAGAAAATTACATTATTAGCACGATCAAATATCGAACGCGCTAACCACTGCGCTGCCATTAAACTTCTCTTCTAGCTCAGCTTTTGTTGTTTTGACATACAAAAAACCCCTTTTATAAATTCGCATCGTAGGTATAATACTCCTCCCAGAAAAAAAGATATGATTCCCAGTAAATGCAACTTTTCAGGAGGCTATCATCGAAAACGAAAGATACCGAGGGGCAGGTTTCGATGTCAGTGGTGAGCGAAAGCGAGCGCGGGCGCGACAACCCCGCTTTCCAGCACGAGCAGAGAAAGCCCAACTCGCCCTGGAGATATCCGCTCTTTAGGAGGCAGATTGATAGGTAAATATTTCTAAAATTATGGAAGGCATGAGCCCTAATAATTGTTAAAACAGTCATACTTATAAATATATGCATAATGTATATGGCGGTACTGCCTCAAAGGTTCTTAGTATCATAGTAATACATTAAGAAAATAGAGTTACGTTCCTGGGCTCCAAATAGCATCAGGATAAAGATCATGCGAATGAAACTAATATTGCAATCGTCCGTCCATCTGATAGAGATTCGTTACCCTCATCAAGTTGGTACATATTCGGAAATGTAATTTAATTCAAAAAGATTTTTTCTTCACGTATCAAAAAGACATTGATCTGGATTTCAACCCTATTGCTTTGCTAGTTCAAACCATATTTCGAGAAAATGAGTCTCAAAACAAACGAATAAGAAAATATTCACTTGTCTTAATACACTTTGTCTGTATTCCATACACGCCACAGAGCGGATTCGGCGTCGAGCCTGGGGTCGAGTATCAACGGCAACAGTACCGCCATTAAGATGTCGCCGCTGGCCGCCGACGCCCCCGCCGCCGCACACGCCATCCCCCCGTACAGGTCCCACCTTATTCTCACATGACACAGTACAGAGTATACTCGGCGTCGAGTCTGGGGTCGAGCATCAACGGCAACAGCACCTCCATCAAGATGTCGCCGCCGCACCCGCCGAACCCACCGCACCCGCCGTCCCCCCGTACAGGTCCCGCCTTATTCTCACATGACACACTATAGAGTACATTTGGCGTCGAGTCTGGGGTCGAGCATCAACGGCAACACCACCGCTATTAAGTTGTCGCCGCAGGCCACCGACGCCTCCGCCGCCGCACACGCCAGCCCCCCGTACAGGTCCCGCCTTATTCTTACATGGCACAGTACAGAGTACACTCGGTATCGAGCATCAACGGCAACAGCACCTCCATCAAGATGTCGCCGCCGCACCCGCCATCCCCTCGTACAGGTCCCGCCTTATTCTCACATGACACACTACAGAGTACACTCGGTGTCAAGCATCAACGGCAACAGCACCGCCATCAAGATGTCGCCGCCGCACCCGCCATCCCCCCGTACAGATCCCGATTTTATTTTTCGAGATAAAACCTACCCTATGTCTCAATTCAGTTAATAAAACTATATGTATTCTAAATTACATCCAATGTTATTCCGTGATGATGGCGCTTGCAACAGTGCCGAAATATCGGAAACTCGCTAAAATCACGATACATGGTAACAATCCCGTAAATAACATGAATTTCTATAATATTCGTGACCATGAAAGTTTTAAACAATATAAACTTACATATTATAATATTAGTAGGATAAAAAGGCATTTTTAAGCGTTTTGAGCGCGAATAGTAGATTGTGGTATAATGGTAGACCAAGTGGTATTGCCCAAGGTTCTTAGTCATATCACTTTACACTGATTTTTGCGTTTTGACTATCTTTATGATAATTTAATAAGAGAGAGACTGATCATCTATGAAATACGCTACGAATTTCAAGAAAAACTGTAGCATTATTAGATTCCACTTCATAATAATTTGCACTTCACATCATCCACTATTATTTACTAAAGCCAAATTTTATTTTACAGATTTCGACCACAAATACCAGCCACAGAACGAGTGAAGGATATGTGGTGATTTTAACGAACAAAAGTGTAGATATATTGTTGTTAGCGCCTACTTTGAGCAGTGTGAGATTTAACATTCGATTGCATTTATGCGTAAATGTTATTTTTTCAGTAGGTACGTATTTACCAGCCACTGGATGGCACACATCGGAACACCATAAGAATTTACATTGACGCAAACGTAATCCAGGTAGTTAAAAACTCAATAAAAAGTGAGAGTTTTTAAATTCGATTGCGTCCACCTGAATCTTCCACTGATTGCCTTTTTTCATAGCCTATGTTACATACACGTCATTTAGATAGAGTTTTTTATAACTCACAACTCGAACTCTGTGAATGCCGACTGTGATTTTTGAATCTGTTAATTATTTTTGCATTATAAAATTGTCGTTTCTTTACTTGGAACTGAAACGTATTCAAACTTTCATTCATTTTCGCGTTTACGCAAATGCGATCGATTCAATGAGAACCTCGCACTCCGCGCTGTGATCTCCAACAAGGACATTAGCACGTGCCTGGTGTAATGTGACACTAATTAATACTAGGCCAAAAACAATAATAAATGTTGTTTATATAATTTAGATAGGTAATTTAACATTTCAATTGTAAATATGTATATGTTTAGGTAGAAATTTGATATTATTTTTTAATGAATCCGTCCAGTGTCATAAAATATAATTTCCTACTTTTAAAATATTTTAATTACACAATAATTCTGTTTACCTCGTTTATATTAATAGTGCTTATATTAAATTATTATGTAACCGAAAAGTATTGACCTTAGAGATACAAAATTGTAACAGACATACATATAACATCAGAGAATCGAGTGAATACTTTGTGCCATGTATCTCACAAGAACCACATAGATATTTGTTGTTTTCTTTTCTACGGAGTATTTTATCATATTTAAGAAAAAATTTCTTACTCTCGCGAATTCATAAAATTATTGGCCTTTCCATTATGATATAGGCATTTTAATTGAACAGAAAATATGCCGAACTTATCTAAATGTATGAACTATACACTAGTGCAACAAAGTGATTGAAAAACTAAGGTTGACAAATTATGTAAAACTTTGACACCATCGTATCGGCCAAAAGTATTTACAAAATATAAAAGTATAAGTAAAATCATTTAAAATAAATGTACTTACATATAAAATGCAAGCCTCAAATGGAAATCAAATACTATTAGAATGAAGTCAGTTAGTTAGTTTTAAGTTATTTATTTCGTAAAAAAATCTATGACGTACGATGAATTTAATTGTGATATTAAACTTTTGACTAATGTATTCTTGTTTAAGTTGACGTAACTATCACAATACCATGTCATTGTAAGATATTTAGGTAATATAACATCACAAGTCATTTTTCAATGTTGTGAAAATACATTTGCAACAGTGAATGTGTCATATATACATAAATTGAAATTAAAAGTGAGAATTGTGATGAGAAATGTATTGTCAATTAATAGTATTTATTGTGATGAAAAAAAATACAGAATTTAAAAACTGAATAATTATCTTTAATTTACGCTCACACTAACTAAATAGATATACCAATGGTTCTTAATTTACAACATCATAATTTTAAACAAATACAAATGTTATAAAGTTTTTTTTTATATGTTTTGACCAAGAAACTTATGAGCAATAAACGAAGGACGTACCTATAATCGCAATTTTAACACGATAAATATATATCGAGAAAACGAAGGAAGTTGATATTGATGCCAAATCGGTACAGATCCAAAGGCTTGAATAATTGCTCATGACGATCTTCTTCATGGGAACCACCCGCTCCTGAAACACGCCTCCGACTTTATACATTATTCATACATTCGTAAAAAACGACCACTGAAGGTATTTACGTGCTGTTTTTCTGTCTGCTCTTCCTTTAAGAAGTTATGTTGTGACTAGGGTTACTGCCATCAAGAAATTTGAGAAATCCTGCATATAAACCCGGATTTGTTTAGTCCGGATATTTTAGCCATAAAAATACAGTCACTGGAGTGGTGGCGAGTTTGTTGGCAAATAAATTGTGATTTGACATTTCTTATTTACCTTCCTACTTTTGCATATTGCAATATTTTTAAAGTTGCTAAGCTAAAAATCCGGTATATTTTTTCAACAACTGAGTGACTACAATAAGCGACTCCGTCATCATCACTGATAATTATAATGTCAATAGAACTGTTGTATTATAACTAGTAGGTATTTATCGGATTAAAATTTCTGATATCAAAACAGGGTCACACCTAGCCTACGTCTGTTCCTTTACGAGATGTTCCAGGTTCAGTTGGCAGAGGAATCCGCTCCAGTTTACGTAGCCTTCTTGAATCACTGTTTCTGCTTCAGCCCATAGTTTACACTGTAATGAAATGTTGTAAGATTCATCATCTCAGTGAGCATGTTCAAGCATTTTAAAGTGCTCCTGCACTGGGACCATTCGCCTGTAATGCAAAATTTACGATTCGATTTTGAGCCAGCAAGCGAATATTTCATTGCAGGTTGCGCAGTGTACTTCTCCCTTACTGATGTAATGCTCAAATGGGTAAGGTTACCTTCATTTTACAGACAAATGATCCGGTAAGAGAGCACCTTTAAGATTGCGTTTATTAAAATTTATATGTCAGACGCCGACCGAAAGGTAGCGCTCATCCTTATGCTCTAAAGATATTGGTTATGGATCCCATTAGAGGCATTTATGTGTGTGCTAAGCACAAAGTATTCATTCCAAGGGGCCATTCGCCTAACAGAAATGCTTTGTAAAACGCTAACACTATCGATTTTATTTTGTTATTTCTAGCCGCCTGAGGTTTTCAAATGCCTCGCGCTCTTTTTTTCTTTTGCATTGGTAACAAAAATATTAAAAAAAAATGAGCGTGAGGTATTTGAAAACCTTCGGCGGTCAAAAATGACAAAATATAATCGAAAGCGTTAGCGTTTTCCAAAGCATTTCCGTTAGGCGAATGGCCCCCTGTTTGACATTTGTGACTATTATCACACCTGTTTAATAATGATATGTGACATTATGTAATTTCTTTAGTACAAACTCTGCAAAAGTAAGCAAAGTAATCTTCAAAGTTGCTATGGCGTGACTGAAGCATGAAGTTTGTAATTAAAACCATAATTACCAACCTAAAGAACTTAGCTCCTGTTAGATCGAAACACTAAACCGGTATGTCAGACACTGGACACAAGCGATCGTAAAGTTACTTTAAATAAATGTATATAGATTTAATTTGCGCCCTTCTGAGAGAATAACATCCATCTAGCAGAAGATATAACCAAATAACACTGGTATTCTTCCGACACAGTAAGTAAGATTTTTAGGGCTCCACGGTGTATGGATGGGGTCAGATTAAGTCATGGGCAAGTCAAGATCGCAGGTGTCTTTAGACTATGATATCCGGTTACTATGAGGCTGGTCATATTCTTGTTTTTCACCTTTTCCACATAATAAAAATATGCGTAGAACTAAGATAATACCGACCTCTGTGTCTTTGAGAGGAGGCGCATGTCTAACTACTTTCTCATAGTCACACTCGCTGAGGTTGTACACCGGTCGGGTCTGGAAGTCCAAGAACGACATCAAGTCTTCGTATTGAATGTTGCATTTCTCATCCTTTTGTAACCTGCATAAAAACATACAATTATGTAGGTAAGTGCGATGACCGATTGGTGCAACGGCTCCTACCTTCTGCGCCAAAGTTATGATTATATCCAAACTTTCACTACAAAATAAATATTGAGAGAGACCCAATTAGAGACACACTTACACTTGTAGCATACAGTCCATAAGATCAGGGTTGATCGGCAACCGGTGCGCTCGAAGCAACTGCCGCATCTTATCAACGGTCAAAATGCCCTTGCCAGTCTCGTCCGCGTGCAGGAGGCCCTCGCGAAGCCTTTCCCGGTCGTCCCATAGTCCTCGAGTCAACTCCGTAAACACTAACGACCTTGTGAAATGTAAATTGTACATTATCGACAAAATGCAGTTCTGTAGTAGGGACTAGCCCTTGGGTAGAGCGGATAGAACAACGCGAAATTAATAAATGCGAAAACGTGTAAACAATATTCAGCAAATAATAAACTTAGGTAAAGTTAAAGTATTGCCCAAGTAGCGCTGAACGATATCTCACTCTACCCTGATCAACGGTTTGGGTCATGATCATGACTACGGATAGCCACTCAAATCGTTCTTGCTTGGGATGGAACAAAACAGGGATTGAAATCCACGTTACACAGGTGTAGTAATTTTTTGTCATACCTTGTGCCGTACATGAAGTTGATATAAATGCATACCGTATCCTTTCACGCCTAGGGCTCTTCTCTTTTCCAGGGTCACCTCGAAAATATCTTATAAGTGTCAAAAACTCATGTTCCGTCATTTTTTCGCACATAACTTCTTTCAGAGCTTGCCTAAAAATGAAATCCTGTCAGTCGCTTACTATAAATTACCTAATTATATATTAAATAAAAATAATGATTGTGAATTGTTCTGAACAGAAATATAAGAATTGAGGGTTCATGCGTTCTAATGACTGCAACACTCGCGAAAGGATGATTATCAAAAATATATACATGTAATTCCAATCTCTCTCATGTTTTTGTAGGCTTTCGAAATCACTTCATGTATCAACTGAAACGCTTTAGACCTGCCTGAAGTGACGGTGCTGGCAAAGAGCTTAAAATATAAGAATCATATTTTGCTTCTGGTTACTCACTTAAAACATCTGACAGACATCAGTTCCCTTTTACCAGGAAGAACAGCTTCCATGTATTTCGCGACGAAATTTTTATAACCATTCTCTTGGGAAGCGAGGGTTCGTCGTATCTTGTCCATTATCAGCGCTATATTCGCCATGGGATACTATATAGAAAAAAATGTAAGTAGATACTTATAGTAAGTGCAAATAATTCTGCACTTACTATGAGTGCAAACCACTACCGATTATACAAGGATAACCTTACACAACCAATGAATAAAAAAATACTTAGTAGTCCGGTCAATTTAGACAATTCAAATAACAAAAACCCCGACAGAGCCAAATATTGGTGGAGACCTTTGTTTTACCCTTATGAATAAAAATTTAAAAGTCCCCATCAATCCCATGCGAGCTTCAAAAGTTATGCGGGGCCAAAGGTCAAAATTTTAGTTTTTTTGACTTTTTCTCAAAAACGGTAAGTTTAATTAAAAAAAAAACCTCAGACTAAAATTGTAGATCTCAAAATTCTCTACAAAAATGGTTCTTATGATTTTTTCTCTAAGTATCACCGTAATATGCACACATTTGATACATGTATACATATTCAGGTTCTTATGCAAGTAAAATACTTATTTGTGTCTCTTTTATGAATAAACTATATACTATATTATGAATATATCATATTGAGAAAATACATAGTTAAAGTCAGTCCCTTACAGAATCTCCTCAGCGCACATGGCCTTGAATAACATCTGGCTATTCTATTGTTCGTGGTATGTGGTGTTGTTTTTATACCTGCTCCTTTTAGTGTTAAACGTTCTGTTCGAGTGAATATACGTATTTATTCCAAGCGTCTAATATTATAATTTGTGCAGATTAATATTTTTAAAAAATGTCTCAATTTTGCTTTATTTGCAATAAACTTTTGACTGAAGGTGAAACTGTTCCAGTTAGTCGTGGAAAGCCAACTTTAATCGATGCGAGTGTTACAAGCAATGATAAGTTTACTGAGTATTTAAGAAGTCAAAAGCCCGTTACAATTCACGTGGATTGCAGAAAATCGTACACCCGGAAAACTTCAATCTCTGCAGCAAAAAGACAACGTGAGGATGAACAAGCTAGTACTTTTAAAATAAATCCACCTCGTCCCAGAGCTCGAGTAAGTGAATCCAGCTTTTGTTTTAAAGAAAATTGCTTATTTTGTGGCGCTGAAGCAGATGAAAAGGCTGAGAAAAAGAAACCGCAGAATCTTCGAAAAAAAATTACAAAGTTTTAACACTTACTAATGAAAGTAGCTGCAGATCGCTTTGATGACGTATCAAAAGCTGTCATTGCACGTATTAATTTTGAGCATGATTTAGTAGCTGCTGATGCCAAATATCATGACAGTTGTTACAAATCTTTCCTGAGACCTAATACTGGCAATAAAGGAGGGCGTCCTCAAGATGAAGCTGTAAACTCTGCGATGAAGGAATTTTTTAAATTCATAGAAAATATTGAGTCTTGCTCAAATGTACAATTGAATACAACAGAGATTCATGTGATTTTGATGAAGAAACAACTGATTTATCTACATTTGAACAATTTTTGTACATCCAGCAAGAGGAAGAAGAAAAAGAAGAAGAAGAAATCGAAGAAGTCATGATTAATGAAGTCGACTATGAAGAGTATGAATCAGAAAGTAATCAGAACGCAATTAAATTCAATAACAAAAATCAATATTAATAATCTTCCTTCAGTTAAATTCGTATTGTCTCTAAAAATTACATTATAACGGTTAGTGGAATGGTAGGCCTACCGGGGAAACCACGTTAAAAAAAACGCGCCGAGTACAATACCTCATAGGTGGTGAGGAAATGTGTGCATATTAAGGAGTACGTGACTCTCACAATCACGATATATCAGGAACGGTGATACTTGGAGAAAAACTTATGAGAACCGTTTTTGTAGAGAATTTTGAGATCTACAATTTTAGTTTAAGGTATTTTTTTGATAAAACTTTTTGAGAAAAAGTCAAAAAACCTAAAATTTTGACCTTTGGCCCCGCATAACTTTTGAAGCTCGCATGGGATTGATGGGGACTTTTAAATTTTTATTTATAAGGGTAAAACAAAAGGTCTCCCTATTTTTATGTCTAAATTGACCGGACTATAGTGAAACAATTTTTTTTATGAAAAACTTTTTGAACGAGTATAAGGCGCTATTTATGCGGCTTTTTTCATAACATTTTGGATTCTTTACAATCAATGTGATGAGGGTACGTGAGAAGATGACTTAAGAAACAAAGAAGTGTAGGGAAAAAGATATTAGGAGAAGACCGCAGACAAATTTCTTGGTATAGACTATTCCGTGAATAGATAAAAAATATAGTGATGTCTGCAATACCTGTTCAGCGTTTAACTCCATATATCGCAGCGCGTACTCATCGGCGGCGATGAGTCGGAACCGGTGCTTATTGATGACCAGCTCGTTACCGACCCACATATCCTTGTCAGTGTACGATGGAGGCTCTTTAGGCACAAAGAATTCCACGTCTGGCAAATACATTTTGTCTCGACGAAAAAACTTCCCTCCCTTAGCAAAAAAGATGCCAAAATTAGTAAGTATGAGACAAAACCCAAGTTAGTAGGTAAATATGATGTGAGGTAACCATGTCATAATGGAAATAAACCTGATATAGTTAACAGCCGCCTACAACTCGTAATGGCGGTAGATGAAAAAAATAATGGTAAACCCATAGATGAAAGATTGGTCGCTTCACTCGACTAGATACTGCCGGCGTACTCGTCTAATGCGGCAACAAATACTATGCCGAAATCGGCATACCCGAGCTTTCACCGAGCCAATCAACCTGACAGTTGTGTACGTTCTGAATGTTTTATTAAAATTTCGTGTTGATCGAAAATAAAATGCCAGTTTATGTAGTGAAATAATACAACAATACATAACAAGGACGCTGGGATCACATAACATCAATAAGTATAGCAAAATTTTGAAATTTCAACATAAAATAACATGAATCTTAAACGTCATTCAGGTGTTGCCGCGTATACAAGAATCAAGTCCCTATGGTTGAGTTTTCTATAATAAGAATTTATTGTAATTGTATTTAATTATTAAACCTATGTTATTCAAACTTACTATAAAACTTGCAATATAGTTTTATATTATTCAACGTTTATCTTTGTAATCTACCTTTTATACCTATAATATTGTGTTATTATTTTTAATAACATTTTTTTTCAAAACATTAGCTCTCTCTCTGCTTTTTGCATTGACCCTTATAAATTACAAAGGTTTCACAAATCAGCATATTACCGACCATACTTGTGGTGTAATATTTTTTTAATTTCATCATATATAAATTATTTTAGGGGAATCTTAACGATTCCAAATAAACATTTCATTTTATGTTCATAAACACAAATCACCTTAACTAACGTATTAAGAAACATTTATTAATAGCTATTCTATTTTTTTATATTGCTGCTGTTCCGGCTGCACAGTCGGTCTTTTAACAGACTTCAAAAAAAAGGATATTCTCAGTTTTACATGAATGTATGTGTGTCCATGATAATCTCAAAGCTACGGATCCGAATTGGATGGGGTTTTCTGCATATAAACGCATATTTATCTGAGAAGGTTTTAGTATATAATTTACTAGCAATGTCCCATGGTTTCACCCGTGTGGATCTACGCGTGTACAATTTCCAACTAGTAGCGTATTCTGTATGTCACTAAAAATGGTAAAATGATAAAAATAAGATTTACCACCTGATATGCTTGAAGTCGATACCAAGACATGTATTTAGCATAGAGATCATGATAATAATAACGATCGACTATTGAAATCGATTCTATTTTTTTTTACTATAAGTTAATTAGCATTTATTAATAATATTTGCGCAATTTTAATTCAACCCCGCCGGAAATACTTATCGGGGCAAGAAACTCGAGTGATAGGCTGTTGCCACCAGTTGATTTATAAACTTATTAGGAACTTGACTACATTTCTAAAGAGACGTTGTGATGGATATATTGGCCGAAAGTCAAAAGTATTGTCACCAACCGATTTTGAAAAGTTTTTGAAGGTAGCTCCAGAATGTCAGAATACTTGGCAACAAAGGTCAGTTAAACTTTATAACAGTAATAATACAAGTTTGTTTTTTCCTCGCAATTGTGTTGAAAAACGTCATATTCAGCTCGTGTGCATTACACACTCAGCTGAGTTACAATAATGTCTCGTATGTAGTGACCAACTTATCACACTTGATTCACTGTAATAATGTATAAGTAAATATTACACGTAAATAAAAAAAATGAGGCCTAATCATTTTTCTAAAGAAGAAACCTACGCCTAATCGTATAAGTACACAAAAACATTGATATATTGGCATTTAATTAAGTGCATCTTCTTTAAGTATTTTATGAGTTACATTTATAACCTGGTACATATTAATAACAACCTACAATATTTTCCCTATTACTCGGGTAGCAGTTGAGCAGCTGGCTACACGATTTATGACATTCGATAGCATCCTTGCAAATTGACATACACACACTACAGTAATGAGTTGCCGCATTTACGGAGCTGTTGTTTTTTGACAGCGCGGTATCTAGTCAAGTGAAGCGAGACCAATCGTTCATCTATGGGTAAACCATATATGTAGTAAGAGACATTTAACCGATTCTCATATCAAAGGCATTGCTCTCGTGTTGCCATGGCCCCATCTCCTAGATAGAAAAAGTAGGTAGTAGGAAAAGTAAGTAAAGCTTACTTAACGCAGTATGATAAACTACGGTAAAGTAAAAAGAAAGGAAAACAGCTTTATACAAAAATACAACAAAAAAATTATAATAATATAGATTCTAAGGTCTTTTAAATTATAGTTAAGTTACCTTGAATCCAGAATTTCGTTCACCCAATTCAAACACTCCAATCGTATCATCACATAGAAAATATTTAATTATAAAATATCTTCTCTTGTCTACAGGCTCGTCATTTATAAGACGCGCTGCAAATCTCAGTATATGGGAGTCAAAACCCACGCTAAAACAATTTTAAGCGAATTAAAACTTGCTCACCCCCTCTGATGCCTGGACCGAGTATTTTTTTTTCACATAAACAGTTTTAGTGACTGTTTTCAAGCCAAAGCAAATATAGAAACAAACCGATCTTTATGGAGAAATTTTATGAAGTCTTTGTGCGGGGCCTTTGGTTCCACTGTCCTACAATTCTCAGCCGAGTCGTCATATGAACCGTATCCATTCCAGGGGGGTAGCTGTCTATCAGCCATACTCGTGCTGACTCTTTGTTTGTCTTCATCCGTTGGTATTGGCAGAGGAGTGAAAGCGTCTGAAAAGTTATCATAGATTTTGCATCATCATTACCAATTGGAAAGGGTTCAATCATTCTTAAGCCACCAAAACAAGGTAACAGAAAATACGTAATCTACAAAGTGCATTAATGTGTTTGTTATAAATTTATAAAAAGTGTGTACCAAATCCGTAAGTGATGCGATAATACTCTTTGGTATAAGTATCACAGTCAGTCAGCACCACATTGCGGCCGAAAACATTGAGAACGGCTCCGATACTCAAATCTGCTGGACTGTACGACGCAACTTTCAGACCACCGGTCATTTCAACACGAGATGGGACATTCTGAAAAATTATCGCAATATTATGAAAATATTAGGAGGCTAAGTATATTTATTAGTTAACTTTACCAGGCAATTTAAACAAATAATTAAAAACTAAACAAAAGTTAGCTGCCTTAACAACACCAGAGCAAATGAAAGACGCTACGAAACGGTAAAGTTATATAAAAGATGAAAAAAAAATTACTACTCAAACATAAAATAGATAATAAATCAATTTGAAATAATTATCTAATAACCTACCTAATAAAGAAAGCTACATTTTTGGTAAAGTGTTATCTGTATTTTTAAACTGAATATATAATATGGTATGGCAAACCCTAGGCAAGCGCATTCTCTTCAAAAACATTGGTCCTGCTTCAACGCCTGAATTAGGAGGCATGGTCTCCTTTATTTCAATAGTGTCATCTGCCAAGAAATAATGGATTTCCAAAAAATGTATCACTCCAAATTCCGAATCTCGGTCATCCCAGTAACCATAAAATCTACAAGTAAAACATATTGATGAGACACGACTTTATTTAAGATTAAGAAAAACTGAGTAGGTAATTATAATGCGATTCGTCGGTGTTAAAATATCGGATATGCATAAATATTAAGTATTATTTTAATTCCATGAAAATTCATAAATATAAATAAGTAAACATCCAACTTCGTCAATCTTATAATAAATGTATATTCATCAATGAAGCTTTGAAAAACTAGCTCTACGATTATCACTATCATAAATTTACCTCAAAACTTGTCTATCAAAATCTAAAAACTGCTTGAAAGGCCTATGCTTAGGAGGTTTACCGGTCGTTGGTGTTCTCTGAAAAATATGTGTTCGCATTCATAAACTTAATTATTTTATATTGATGAAACATCTAATATTAAATCAAAATATAGACTTACTTCAACAGCGTCAGGCCAGGGTATAGGATCCGGCACGTTAATCCCGAGACGATTTAAGAATACTCTTGTAAAATTGTCACAATTTACAATCTGAAAGATATGTGTATGTTTAGTTTACTGGATCACCTCAAATGGTAATAAAAGCAAAAAATTAATGAAGAATATATTTCATCCCTGTTTATTATTCTAAAAAATATATAAATATAAAGGTAAATCAACTTTTTTAGTGTCCAATGTCCGACTTACTGTGTCCCTGAATAATAATTCAAATTTAATAACAATTAAATTCAAAGTAGAGTTTTTTTTTTATTCCGTTATGTTCCTATTGATATTTTCTATCAAATAATCACAAAACATTTTATTTTGCTTACAATGTAGCCAGTTATTCCATGGGTGGCCAAAAGACCAAAAGTTGGTTTTCCATAGTATTGTCCCCGTATAATGGTGGTACAAAAAATATTGTGTCAAAAAATACTGTTGCTGAATTGATACTTTTATAATAATATATAATATACACATAATCACGTTCATAGATAACTATCATCCATAAAACATACCGATTTTGTAATATTTGCAAAACGGTTTATGAATTTCTATTTTAGTTATACTGATTTCACAAAACTCACGGCGTCAGTCGATCGAGTACTGCTGTAGAATGTAGGGTGGCTTTATTGTCAGACCACTGGCATAAATATGTAAATACTGTACATATTAAAATAAATTATATCGTATCAGATACTATTTTATATATATTTTACCGTAATCGAAAATAAAGCACAAAAAATCTTTAATACTTGGTATACGGCTCAAAGTTTTAGTTAAGTCCCCAGGACAACTAGTTACTTGGACAACGAAAACGTTTGTCCGTAGGTCATTTTTATTATCCCTTGGACTAAAACAATCTATTATGATTTTCCAAGGATACAATAAAGATAAAATAAAGCAAAGCAGTAGGAGTATTTTTTACCTTCTATTTCGCATTTTAATCAAAAATTGTGGGAAATATTTAGAATTACGTGAGATATATGCCATTTATAAAGATAAAATATCAAACTGTATTATTTAATGAATGTAAGTAAAGTTATTTGTTGTAACAAAAATATATGTCTAGTTCGTTTAAAAATACTTTTAAATAGTGGTCCAGGGGACAGAACAGATTCGAACTACTGAAGATTTCAGAGTAAAATTCATGTAAATTCGTAAGAAATCAGCTCTGCTCTATAAATAATCATAAACAAGACAAAATTATCTTTTAAGCAAAATATTAAAATGAGGGAAAAAATCCAAATTTCCATAAGTTAATTCACCCATAAAATCATCGATTTTAAATACATAATATGTACTTATATCTTGACCAATTATGCTACCGCGACCCTGACGGACGCGTCGGAATTCCTCTATCCATTCTTAAGCTGCAAGGCAGCGCCATCTCTTAGCATTGTAGGTAACCCACAATCCCGTCTGCTGCGGTCCGCGTGGAATTTTTCTAGTTATATTTTCCTTACATTTAAACATCAAGCAGTTATATGCTTAAAAAATAAAAATTATAGGTGAATCTTGCCAACAAAGCTAATAGAAAAAGCTTTGGATATTTACCTTGAACACTTTACCGAAGAAAGTGACTTCTCGTCCAATATTAAGATCAAGGACATCGTAATACAAATCGTAACTGTGCGGGAGTCGAATCCTTTGACGACTAATCATTGTTCCTGGTAAAAAAGAAAGTTTACTTTAATTAGTTACGGGTTTAAAAAAACCTGTAAACGTTATTTCGTATCATTCAAAAAACACCTACCTACTACCTAAAATGTCGATGTGGGGTTGCATATCGCATCGACACCCCATGATGATTAGATAATTTTAAAAGAATATTTTTTGGATAATTACGATTTTTGCATAATGATATAAAATAGGCATACTTTTTTACTTCATCATAATCATGACATAGGTAAGCGTATGGACGCAATCCTGCTGTCATAAAAGAGCTGGGAAACAGTGACTCTTCTACTCGACGTAGAGAGGCTCCTATAGAAAAACCTTCACATTAAAGAGAACTCGCAGTGTTTCTGACAAAGCACAGCAAAATACACAAATAATACTTGGTTTATCATCATGGGCGTAATAAAAGGAGGCGAGGAGGGGGAGAATTATCAACCTGATTCTTTAACAGAATCGTATTTTATGAGTAAACCGTCACCTGAATACGCCTAGGGATTCGAATACTATCAAAAGGGGATGCATGTAAGTAAGGTATTGTAAACGGGCACCGTTAGAAGTTAGAACTATGGCAATATAATGTCCATCGCTTTATTGGAACTTTTTAAGTTCCTATTAAACTAAACGTATTGTTTTGCCGTAACCACGTGTACGAGTATACAGTTTACCATTAGTAGATCAGCTTCATTGCTTGCCAATAAACGCGCAATTTGTAGTGTGCAAATGGCAATTCGTAGTAGTTAAAAAAAAACAGGAAATCTGACTGATGCCTTTACCTTGCAGTAAACCACTATTTTCAGTTTTTGGCTCCATAACTTTAATTGTGCCATCTTCTAAAAAGAAGAATATGTCAACTTTCCTCAAGACATGCGCACCACTTCTCATCTCTTGGAGAGTTTGTTGGAAGAATCCTTGAAAGCGTAATATCTAAAATATCAAAGAAAAGAAGGTTAGTTAAAAAATTCAGGGCCGGATTTAGAGGTCCAGAGGCCTCGGAGAACAAAGGAACGGAGGCCCCCTCACCCCAAATTATTTTCCAAATAAAGTAAACAATTTTATTTCAGTCGAGTGTTTCAATAAATATTTTATTGTAAACCAAGTAGATTTCCTTAGTATTGAACAATGATGTTTACTAGTTGGAATTTGAAATATTTTTTTTCCGAAGTCTCTATTGTGGGGGCCCCCCGTTTGTGGAGGCCCCGGGGCTTTCGCCCCGGTTGCCCTCCCCTAAATCCGGCAGTGACTAAATTAACTGTTAAACTTTTGTTTTACTATATTTCATGAAATAATTAAAATAAAATAATTTTTCCAACATCAAAATAAATAGTTTTATTTGAAAAATTAAGTCTTGCGACTTGAATTGTTTGTTGGAAATCTGGGCACTAGGTACTTAATCTAAAACTCTGTACTAAAACAGACTTAAATTAAGTACAAAGTTTTCACGCACAGTATGATATTTTTCACTCCTGAAATCCTGACTACTGCTCACTAGACTGACAGCATAATTAAGCGTGTCCGTGATGCTAGCGTACCCACGATCAATATACGGTTTTTCGTTATGCCATTAAATACTGCGTAAATAGTGCCAAATTAGTGTAAAAATAAAAAAAATAGTGCCTCTTTAATTTAAGAAATCAAGACCATTTTTACTGTGTACGCTACCATGACGTCAAGCTAGCGTACCCATAGCCGACCCCAAGAACGGTGTCCGTGATGCTAGCGTAGCCACGATCAATATACGGTTTTTCGTTATGCCATTAAATACTGCGTAAATAGTGCCAAATTAGTGTAAAAATAAAAAAAATAGTGCCTCTTTAATTTAAGAAATAAAGACCATTTTTACTGTGTACGCTACCATGACGTCAATCTAGCGTACCCATGGCCGACCCCAAGAACGGCATATATTTAAGCAACGAAATTGACACACAAAAATAGTGCGCAAATAGTGCCCTGGCTTTACAAAATTTCATAATCAATACTCTTAAATGACCAAAGATATTGAACTAAACATTCTTAGCTGGCGTCAACCTGGCGTACCCATAATAGTTCTCATAGAAAATGAACTTTTATCGTTATCAATTCTATATGTATAAATAGTGTCTCAAATAATGCCTCTAACAGTAAAAGTATTTTATGTGAATCCGCTTCACAACAATCCATAAAGCGGCTGGCGTCAACCTGGCGTACCCATAATAGTTCTCATAGAAAATGAACTTTTCTCGTTACCAATTCTATATGTATAAATAGTGTATCAAATAGTGCCTCTAACAGTAAAAGTATTTTATGTTGATTCGCAGTAAAACAATATAAAAAAGCAATTAAATTATTTTTATATATGAAGTACAGTCATGTACAGAAGTGATAATATTTTCGTAGTATAGTAGGTAAGTTAAGGTACTTGGTAGGTAGTTTGAAATTCTTATATGAATTTATGATTGGTGAATTCGAATTGAAATAAAATATCTTTTCATGAAAAGTACCTATTTATTTTAGTAAAAATACATATATAGATAATCTCTTAGTGCATAAATTAATTTTGTGTGTAACTGTACTACAATACATATGTTCCTAGAATTTAACATCCGCTTTATGGATTGTTGTGAAGCGGATTCACATAAAATACTTTTACTGTTAGAGGCACTATTTGAGACACTATTTATACATATAGAATTGATAACGATAAAAGTTCATTTTCTATGAGAACTATTATGGGTACGCCAGGTTGACGCCAGCTAAGAATGTTTAGTTCAATATCTTTGGTCCTTTAAGAGTATTGATTATGAAATTTTGTAAAGCCAGGGCACTATTTGCGCACTATTTTTGTGTGTCAATTTCGTTGCTTAAATATATGCCGTTCTTGGGGTCGGCCATGGGTACGCTAGATTGACGTCATGGTAGCGTACACAGTAAAAATGGTCTTTATTTCTTAAATTAAAGAGGCACTATTTTTTTTATTTTTAAACTAATTTGGCACTATTTACGCAGTATTTAATGGCATAACGAAAAACCGTATGTTGATCGTGGGTACGCTAGCATCACGGACACCAATTAAGCTACGAAAAAAATATCACTGCTCTCCGTTTAGTTCGTAATTAATATAAAAACAAATATTTTTTAAGGTATGAAATCATTATGGTACCACACCATCAATACTGAAATTAATTTCGTAAACTTTTGCTATCGAACAACACTAACAAAAGTTCACTTAAATTATGTTACCAAATGCTTCAAAAGCTATTTTTTTCATTTGGGTGCGCTGTCAGATACCCTTAGGTAAATATCATACATACATGATTTTATTTATTTTTAAGCATTTAACTGCTAGATGTCTAAATCTAAAGAAAAGTTTACTAGAAAAAAATCCACGCGGACCAGGCAGCGGACAGGACTCGAACCCGCATCCTTCGCTATCCGGGCGAATGCACTGACCATTATGCTACCACGGCCCTATTAGCCGCGTCGAAATTTTCCTAGCCTTAAGCTGCAAGGCAGCGCCATCTCTTCGCATTGTAGGTAACCCACAATGTCAAAATGAATACTTTTTCAAGTATTAAACATTTGAAAGAAGAAATAGCAATTATAGTTATGATTTTATTTGTTTTTTAAGCATTTAACTGCTAGATGTTTAAATCTAAAGAAATGTTTACTAGAAAAAAAATCCACGCGGACCAGGCAGCGGACGGGACTCAATCATACATACATGTTTGTCGTACATGATCCAGGTGGGCAGGTCGGGGGCTTGCTTTCGTCCATAGAGCGAAGGCACGCGGTTGACCGTCTCCGTCTTATCGACCAGCATGTTCACTTTGTCTATCGATGTGAACACCGGTCTCACGCCGAAATTCTTCTTGCCGATCTAGGTATATTTATTTGGACAAGAAATTGATAATTTTTAGCACCGTTTTCAATAAGTAAAAGGCTTCATCATCATCAGCCTATTAATTCCTTCCTGAAGGGGCACCGGCTATCCCTATGGATGGAATAGGGAGACAGGATCACCAGCCCACCAAGGGAGTATTGGGCGGATTGGTGGGTGCTAACACCTGCAAATGCAGGTGGACCGTATGGTTTAGGGGGACTTCGGAATCACGGGGAATCGCGAGATAATATATTTTTGGTCACCCTCCCGAAGACCAACCATTGCGAAAGATCCTTAACTTTCACGAGCTCTACCGAACGCACTAAATATTTGCGCGATCGAAGACCTATAATTGTTTTTAATTATGTAGGGCAAACCACACTATGACATGTTTTAAGCGGCAAGCATCCGTTGCCTAAACAGCAGTCAAATATCATAATTCTGAAGTATTCCTTGATTGTTATGTTCCAGAAGTGAAGTGAAGCAATGTGAACGAAAATACAGGTTGATTAGTGTGGCTTGTGCACCCGCACATAACAGCAGAGTGGAATCAGGACTTAATCAATTGATTATCCTTGGTTACCTGTCAACAGTTGTAGAAGTTGATGATGATGTGTTGAAGAAGTAGGTATAGTAGTCAGCCACATCTCACAGTGTTTCTTTTAATATGAATATGGTTATTGATATAATATTTATGATGGGTATCATGAGAAGTACTACATAATCAACTATTATTGTTCTGGCTACTTACGAGTGGATTGGATCCATATCCAGGTAATAGTGGTAATCTCGGATTACGTATTGCCATGATTTTTAATAGGGTCTCAAAATTGCGATATGTTAATCAGTACTTTCATAAAAATAAACTCTACTAATATCAATGTAAAATATCGAAAAACGCTATTGATAGTTTTGACTTTGTATCTAAACTCAAAACTAAACAGTCACTTAACAATCCGTTACTATCACAACCAATCACAATATGTTGCATTCTCCTTGGTAACCAGGACTGCATCCAAAATATTACATTTGTATGGACCATGATAAGTACTTGGATACATGCATTGATCATATCATGGACTAAGAGGAGGACATGGAGTTAGTTATAATGAAATTAGTAATAGGTAGTTACGGGTCAAGTTATTAACTTCTCTTTTATTTTAAACACCAACAGCAACATTCTGGCTCCAATACCAGACCCTGGATGTTAACTAGAACCAGAATCCTTGCCCTTTAATTAAAAGAGATTCAACTTTTGTCGTTTTATCACAGTCAGTGCCGAACAAGGATAAATCTAGTCGAGAGATCAATATAACTGGCAGGAGCCAAGGAGCGCCAAATTCTTAGTTCGGTATATTTCTTTATGATTACAAACGCCTTTTTCTTTAACTCCTCTCAAATACTGTGATGAACGAAGTATTGTGCCTAAACGTTTCGTAAGATAGTAGTCACAGATTGCTTTATAATTAACCAACCGTCTGTGCTTTCCAATTACAGCATTATTGCGCATTATGCGGCATAATGCTTAACGTTGAGTGTTCCAACTACAGCAACGCTTCGCACAATTGAGCACTCTCAAAAGTGATGCTTTCGTGTGATGCGTGCAATGGTAACAACTTAGAGAAAGAAAATTAACAAGTGTTTTTTCTTTAAGTTGGCATTGATCGAAATGTTTTATTTATATGTTATCGTTAGTAATATTATTTATTGTTGAAAAATTATTAAAGCTTTCGTTTCATTAAATATTTTTTTTTAAATAATCAAAGTTCATTCAAACTGTTAAAAAATAAATATAAGTATGGATGAAAGTACAAACATTGACTTTTTTTTTCAACACTGAACTTAGTGCACTCTGCTGGTGCATTTGAAAACTAATTCACGTTCCAATTAAGCATCAGCATAATTGGGCATTGTGCGGCACTGAGTCGCATTATGCTCTGTAATTGGAAAGCATACTGACTTTTTTACCCCAGTGCGCGACTCTGACGGACAGTCTCATTTCTGTACCGTATCCAGAGTGTAGGTACGGAACGTATTAAACTGCCCACTTCCCCCTTCGACGAATCGGTAGAATAGCTGAGCTGTCACTGTCACTCAACTGACAAGGAATAAAAACAAACAATAATTTAATTCCTTCATAAAAATCATTAATATTCTAACTAAACTGTAGTTAATTTTGTGTATTCATAGTTATTTTGACATACGCGTATTAAATCTTATTAAAATTAAATATTGATATCTATCAGTAACCCTTATTCGTAGTTACTTTTTACAATTAAATGAGCAATAAATTGGTGTTATTAACAAACTAAGTACTACACGATTCAATATGATCGACGTAAAAACCAAAATCACATCCTTTTTTATCTTTAACTCTTCTTTTGGACCTAAAGAAGGAGAAGTATGTTTATTTCAGATGCCTAATCATTCTTTACTAGTTCGAATATTCAACACCTGCAAGGAAAAACATCGTAAGGGTGCGGCCAGAGTGCACTCAGATTCAGATTCAGATTTCGAAAACAAGCGCGAGAAATAAACAGTGTAGTCGAAGGGTACGGCCAGATTGCACTCCTGATTCAGATTCAGATTCGGACACAGAAAACAAAGCGCGAGAAAAAGCAGGCAACCTGCTTAGACTACACTGTTTATTTCTCGCGCTTGTTTTCAGAATCTGAATCTGACTCTGAATCTGAGTGCACTCTGGCCGCACCCTAACTCAGTATTTAGAAGTTTTGAAAGGATGATGCTGTGGTTTATATGAAATCTGGTCCCACCTTCCAATAGCTATGTGTGTTACATCGTTGGATAGCTATTTTTGAGCTTAATAAAAGTTACTATAGCACCAAATTCAAATTCTTAGTCTGTTCTGAGTTATTCCTAATTAAACATAGTAACTTAAAATTCAAAATCAATGTAAAAAAAATATTAATACTGACAAAAATGTTAATGTTGATATTGACAAATGCTTTTTGTCATATAAAACAACGATAATATATTTTAAATAGCACATTTATAATTAAGACAGGATCTACAAATCCCTCATTCCTCGAGTAACCTAGGTACCAAATGATTGATAGAATATGCGCACAGTTCCCTACAGTACGTCATCTAGTCAAGCAAGTACAATGCCTTTAGATAATGTTATTATCATGAACTAATGTGTGAAACGTGAACTAATACTAACTAGCTCTTACGTGTCGCGGCTGTATATGACCATGCAAGAGCCAATCACCTTGGTCAAAGCCAAAATCAGGAAATCCTCCAGTGCATCTTCTCGGTATATTTCTATTGTATACGAATAGTGTCCATTTTGTAGATGTTTGCTGCAGTAACATTTAGCTAACTTCATTTGGTAGTTTCCCAAAGCTAATAAATATGATTTGTTCTTCACTAAATCTGGGAAAATCAATATTACTTGGTAACTAATATGGATTTGTAACTACACATGTATAAAGCACAGAAATACAATTAATTGGTAAAAATTGCATTATTTGGCTACAGGTAAAACTGCCATGTTTAATTAAGGATAACTTGGAACGGGCTAAAATTTGGAACTTGGTGCCGTAGTAACTTTTATTCAGCTTAAAAATACCAATCTAACAATGTTACATACATAGCTATTGGAAGGTGAGACCTAAGGGGGACCAGGATTGGCATTCTCCTTTTGTAGTTACATACAAAAATTATACCAATTTATAGAAATCTATTAATACAAAGAAATGCAACCTTCCTTGATCATTTCAATTAATAAGATTCGCATGAGGGTTTCACAGAAATCACCAAGTTTTTTTACAATCTCTTGTAAAGTAACTAATGCTGAATTACAATATTTCTCCTTGTGTCATATTCATGATAGTGTATATTATATTTAAATGACCAAAACCTATTGTATTACTGCTTTACAGGAGCTGAAAAGGGTGCTCTTTTTCCATCCAAATCATATTAGCCCTGATGCTAGAAAAAATCAAGTGGGATTATGTGAAGCTGTAGTAAAATTCATGAGGTAAGTCAAGAATTTCTAAAAAGCATTTTGTTCAGGTTTCTTTAAATTTTATATTTTTTCCTTTTAGTACATTCTCATCAGAACCATGTGAAGCTCTTCAAACGCAAACAAAAAGATACATATTTTATCAGCCTGAGAAGGGCTATTGGATGGTTTTAGTAAGTTACAATATAATTAAATTTTATTAGATTTCATATAGGTATATTATGTCAAAATTTAACTACATTTCCAATAAACAGGTTGTCACAATACCTTATGCAACAAAAGCAACATCAGCTATTGGAGAAACTCGAGGAGAAGTAGTAAGAAAAATGTTATGTAATATGAAATACTTTAAATTATAATTTATTTGTAATTTTTAAAGAGAATTATTAATATTTAAGAGAAATGATTATTTCTCTGTTTATAAATAAATTCATTGTAACCAGTATTTTTAATTTTTTGTAGTTGAATCCTTCTATCATGAGTGATCTACTTGTGTCTGCATATAAAATGTTTAAATTATTCATGGGTTCATTCAAAGATATTCCAATGGAAAATATTTATTCAACATGTGAAGAATTTTTCAATCCGGTACGTATTAATAAACTGACCAAATAACTTGCAAGAAAACTGAACAATGAAATTTTATGAGTGTTCATAATAATTATAATCTTAATTAACTTTAGCAAAAAAATTAAGTCATAAATTATTAATAATTTCTGTTTCAGTATATAATGTCCAAGAATCTCACAAATGATATATCAGACTTGATTCAAGGAGTAAGTTATCTACCTTTAGATAAAAACTGTTTCTTCAAAGTGATATGCTTAATAGATTTGTTGGAAGTCACTTACCCTGATTTTAAATGCATATCTTTTGTATATAATGATCAATTGATTTGGTAAGCACCTCATAATGTTTTATTGTTTGTGGCAGACATTCAGCCATTATTTAATATATAAATATTATTTAATTTCCTTAATAAAGTTAATTGATTCCTTATTTCAGGAATGGACTTGCAACTAATGATATGCTTACTCTATACCAATACTTGGTTCAAACTTTACTACCTAAGCAAGTAGAAAAAGAGATTCAAGGAGGGGCTGTCGCTGCAGCCCAAAGACATGGTAGATTTATCAGTCCACCCGACGGCATAAGAACCAGTGATGATCTAAAGAAGTTGGTTAAAGTATATTTACGTTGTGAAGATGATACAGAATCAAAACAGTACTATCTAATCATATACAGGACATTAAGTGCTACAATGTGCTTTACTATTGATGGTAAGTTCAAGTTTTGTTTTAAGTATGTCACCTACTTGCAATGCTATCAGGGCAGGATTTAAGGTAGGACAGGTGGGGCTGTGACCCAGGAAGGTGGCCCAGCCCGCACAGGAGAATGGCCCCCACAGCAGAGAAAAAAAAACAAATTTTAACGAGTCACCAAACCAGGGTGCAAACCGTAACTGGACCGGGCCCAGATTTAGGGGCCTCCACTCCTTCGTCGCCTCAGGGCCTATTAATTCGGCCCTGCTACTACTGTAAACACTACTATAACTAATTACCTATTACAACAGATGTTTAAGATATGCTAATCTGTAAAAAATCTCCAATTAATATTCAACCTTGAAAAATGGTCTCTTAGCCCAAAACCAATTGTAGAATGTTTAAAATTTATGGTAGCATAATAATCCTTACTAATATTATAAATGTGAAATTATACATATATATATGTTTGTTACATAATCACGTAAAAACGACTCAATGAATTTGGACACACATATGTTTTAATACTTTTTATCCTGCTAAATGTTAGGTTCCCGAGAAAGTCTCAAAAAGCTAAAGTTGCCGCTTATCAAATCGCTAACGGCCCGCTTGTACCTAGAATTAAGGGGACAGCTCCCACCTAGTGATAGACTTTTGCGAAAGTTACTTAACCCTAGATAGCTAACAAATCAAGCAAAAGTGTAGGTAGTGCAAAAAAATCGCTATCTTTTTAACGCCGCGTCCGAACGTAGTGTCTCGGGTAGCCAATTCAGTAGCCGGGTAGGCCGTTGCAATGGCGCACGCAGTAAGCAGATAAGTGTCATAGTTTTTGAGAAACTTGACCTTTGCCCGTCGTTTCGACGGGTGGTTAGCTTTACCGTCAGTCTCACGCAGAAAGAAAAACCAATCTCGCACAAAGTTTTTATTAAAAAACTACATTTCCTACTAGTAGAGCCTTGGCTGCAGGCAAGATTAGTAAAACAATGATGCCAAATTGCCAACGCAAGTGAAAGAACACCAGGAGCGTTTTTTCAATGCAACCATCCCCCAGTCAAGATCACCAGCCAACTTCTCTTCAAACTAGTTTTGCAAAGAAGTTGACTGGTGATCTTGACTGGTGGATGGTGAAAACGGAAAAGAGCCATCAACATCTTCATCAGCATATTAACTGTTGGGGCACGGGCCTTTCCTATGGATGGAATAAAAATATTGTGGCATGACCCACCAAGCCGACCCTGTGCGGATTGGTGGGTGCTAACGACTGCAGATCCAGCCGGGAACAACAGCTTAACGTGCCTTCCAAAGTACGGAGGAGCTCGAGATAGTTAATTTTTGGTCACCCATCTAATGACCGACTACTGCAAAATTTGATTAACTTCAACTATCGCAGCCGAAGGCTGGCCACTTACGCCATCGAGCTCCTCATCAATATCATCATGTGGAAAAAACCATAAAAAAACGAGTAGAATGTGCAACTACAAGAAAAACTTATGTTTGCCAACTGTATGTAACGTTGTTGATATGTGGTGAACATAAAGTTGATTTTTGGGTCACTTGCGCAAAGAGATTTTTTTTTATGTTTTAATTACTTTTTATTTTGCTACGTACCATATCAAGCAAAAAATCTAATGGTTTATTTTAATTTATCGTTGATTTTGCATTGCCAAAGGGGTTGATTATATAAAGTCACGTGCCCACGTGACCTAACCGAAAGTTCGTAAGGGGGCGTCCATAAATTACGTGAGATGTTTAAGGGGGGGAGGGGGTCGAGTCAAATCTCATCTAATCTTACGTTGGAGAGAGGGGGGGTCTCGGCAAATATCACGCAATTTTTTTTTAATGGAACAAAATAGAATTATTCTATTTTGGTCCATTTAATCTAGATTGTAGACGCTTAATATTTAATCGTAAGCGTTTTCGTAATACGATTACATCATTCACTTATTGGTTCGAAAGGAAAGTAATCGTAAATAAAAGCACGAAGCAATTTTTTTTCTTTTTACAAAAACCGACATTTTGAAAAATCTCACGTGAGATTGGGGGATGGGGGTAACCTAATAAAATCTCACGACATCTCACCAGGGGGGGAGGAAAGGACAGAAAATTCAAAAAAAACACCTCACGTAATTTATGGACGCCCCCTAAGACGAAAACAATAAAATTGGAAAGGTTGTTGACTTTCAAAATATTGGACGAAACATAGTAATATTTTAATTTATCGTATTATAATAATAAGTCTCTAATTAGGACGTCCAGGTGGCAGCTTTATTGCGAAGAAAATGCATTTTTTTTATAATAGATGTCGCTAGGTGCGCTTAAATGTGATTCATGTAAGTTGATTTTTCTGAGAGATAAACTTTTTAATGTAATATAAATTATTATGCTTGTGTACGATAGCGCAATAAATAAATATTGTATTCTACCACATAAATGATAGTACTGTTATACTGATAATTAAAGCAATTCGTGCAAAATTATTCCCTAACCATTCAAAAATGCACAACGTTAATATTCAAGTTTTCACCTCTGCCGGATCTCCCGGAGTGCAACCCGACGTTTTCTTTTTAAATACCCGTCGTTTTGACGGATGGTTAGCATAAACAGAGTGCACCAGAAGGGTAGCTATCTAGGGTTAATAACCACAATCTCAGGCTGTATACGTTTCAGTCATTATTGATGATGTTGTTTTCTTTACAGTTAACACTACTCTAGAAATAGAAACGTTTAGATCTCTAGACGCATTCATTGGACCACATCTCTCGACAATAGCATCCACAATCAGCGAACAATGCGCCCTACATGCCCTGCAAACTGCACAGATGCTGGGCACAGATCAGAAATTCGTTTACTTCAATAGGCTCAACTTAGCCTATAAAAGTTCGGTAGGTATAAGTAGGGCTGCCATCCGTCCGGGTTTCCCCGGATTTGTCCTAGTTTACGGGGCGTCCGGGGAGCGTCCGGGCGGGGTTTTATTTGTAGTCCGGGTTTAAAAATTTACGGCAACGCATGAGTGGCCCTAGGTGCTGCAAGTGTCCATGGGCAGCAGTGACCACTTATTATGAGGTAGACCGCTAGCTCTTTTGCCTAGATCTACATAAAAAAGTTGATTTGTGACATTTTTAGCTGTTTTTTTATTGGTCTGTCCGGGTTCTGGGCTTCAAAATCCGGGGTTATCACGCGTCTTATCCTGGTTGCCACATTTTAGAGATGGCAGCCCTAGGTATAAGTCACAATCTCCGCTATCAGAATACTTAAAAACTTGATTAAAAACATCGAAAGATATTTTTTCAAATTTAAGTAATTATGCTAGTTAAAAGATATAAAAATTAATATCGTAAAATAATTTGAAGCCTTTTTAGGATCATACCTAAACAGCGAGTGTCCAATGGGTCTGTTACAAATGTTGGCAACATTTGTTTGAGCTTCACATGACGGTGTTTTTATGAGATCACTGTATTTGCCATTGAGCGTCGCCACTCCACAGCTTCTGTTACACCCGCCGCAATTGATGTTTTTCATAAAAAATATTTTTATTCCAGGCATCTTTGAGTAAGCTAGTCCCATCAACAGCCATCAAACCAGAAGTCTTGAGTATCATAGCAGACATTCATACGGATCGCAAAAGGTAAAAATTTATTTAAGTACTTTCAATATTTAATATACCACGACTATATGATCTGACCTACCTAAACAAAAATCTGAGGTCACCCAGAATGTCGAAATATATCGTTAATAAAGAAGAAACTCCTTCAATTTTTATATGTTAAACGCGACAATAACTCTTATTTTTTCTAGCTTAGGAAATTATGGCGAAGTTATAATCAAAACACCTGACGAATACTGGATTACTGGGAAAACATCAAACGAGAGAGAGTTCTACGTTATAATACAAGAAAAAAATGCTAACTTAAAAGAGATTGCTGGTGAGTTATGTTATTTATACCTATTTCACTATTTATTTATTTTATTTATTTTATTTTAGGAAGGTTTACAGCTATCAATGACTTATTAAATAAACAAACAACAATATCCAAAAGCCAATTAAAAACCTCCACATATTAAACATGCTTATATAACTATAACTATCTCATAATATTTTATCCTACTATAATATGCTTACATGCTTATAATTCATATCATAATATATTTATTACAGCTAACAATTTATACTAACTTAAAAAAAAACAGAAAGGAAACAGACGCCAATTTGAATATTGAGCATACCCATTTATTTAATTAATGCCTATTTAAAATAATTCGAAGCTATAGTTCGTCTGACTGTCACTGGGCTTGTCGAGAATAAGTCAAAGTCGTTCTCAATACTATACTTGTTGTAAATTTCACATCCACGCATTAGGAATGTGTTGTGTCGATAGTTTGTGTGAGCAAAGGGTACATTGAGCAACTGGCGACGACGCAGACTTAGTACATTAGTACGAAGACCAATTTTCGACAATAACTCCGCGCAATCAATGCTGCCATTAGCAAGTTTAGATATAAAACAAGCGTCATTTACTTCACGGCGAATTTGAAGAGGAAGAAAGTGATAACGCTTGCAACGATGCTCGTAACTTGCAGAATACTGTCGGGCTTTAAAATCGAGAAATCGCAGAAATCTTTTTTGTACCTTCTCCAAGCGCGTAATGTAAATATTGTACATCGGATTCCACACCTGCGAGGCGTATTCCATATGGCTGCGTACGAAGGCACAGTACAACACTTTTATCGCTTTTATAGAATTGAAGTCGTTGGACATACGCATTACAAACCCCAAAGCTTTAGAAGCTTTACTAGCAATATGATCAATATGATCATTAAACATTAGTTTGGCGTCATGTATGACACCTAAATCTCTAATCTTGTTAACCCGGGCTAATCTGAGATTGAAAAATCTGTAATCAGATTCTATTATATGCGTTTTTCGTGTGAATGTCATATAAAAACATTTTGATACATTAAGATCCAACTTATTAAGAAGACAGTATTGCTCAAACCGTTGTAGATCTTGTTGTAATTTGATAACATCCAATGAACTACGAATTACTTTTAGAACCTTCATGTCATCCGCAAATAAAATTATTTTAGAATTAAGGAAACATTTATTAATGTCTAAAATAAAAATGATAAATAAAAGTGGACCTAAAATCGATCCTTGGGGCACGCCAGATGGTATATCTATCCACCTCGACACATAACCTCGTAGGACTACAGCTTGGTTACGATTTTCAATATAAGACGTAAACCAACGAAGTAAATTGCCATGTATGCCTGCGGAATGGAGCTTGGAGAGCAATACTTGATGATCTATTCTGTCAAAACATTTTTGGTAGTCGGTATAGACAACATCTTCTTGAGCACCATTCTCCATTGCCTCGGTGATAAACTCATTCGCTACTAAAAGGTTGCTGGTTGTAGAGCGCTTTTTAAGGAAACCATGTTGTTCTTCGTTAAATAAAATGTTAAGGCTGGAGTAGACGTCTTGGTAAACTAGTTTTTCAAGAATTTTGGCAAACAAACATAATTTTGATATTGGGCGGTAGTTTTCTACATTATTTTTGTCACCTTTTTTAAATATCGGTGTAATGAAAGCCGATTTCCATATTTTGGGAACAGTTCCCTCAGATAGAGAGCGACTGAACAATATGCAGAGCGGCCTCACTAAACTTTCAGCAGATTTTACTATAAAAAGAGGGGGAATCAAATCTGGTCCACTGGATTTGCTTAAATCAAGAGAGTTTAAATACTTTAATAGGATCAACTTCGACATCACTCACACTGTGGAGGTTGTTGTTGATATATAATATATAATTAGATTAGTTGTATATAATTAGATATGAATGATGGAAAATAATCAATTCTTTTATAAATCTTGCAATTTGAAGGCTCTTCCCCATACATAGGCGCGTTATTATCGGTCGATAATACCTACCGGATGCGTTTTTGCTTTATCTGTTTTGGTACATTGACTATTTATTCGCTATTTATGAAACGGGGTACATATAGTTATAACAATTATATCTCTTCCTTTTATAAATAGCGAAAATAGCTTCGACATCTTTACGAACTTTGGTTAAAAATAATTTCATGCTTTTACAGATGAGGTGAAAAGGATATGCGAAGCACAAATGAAAGGTATATTTTTCTACCCGATGTAATGAAATAAACATTCAATTCAATACTATATTCTATAAAATGCTCCTATTTTTTCAAATCATGTGGACAATGTGGCAGAATGAAGAAACTTATTTTTTAATCATAGCATACCTACTGTTTTGTAAAAAAGTGAATTGATTTATTTATTATTGATAATAAATATTTATTAGCTTGTTAATGTTAAAGAATATAAGTCTTTCCTGATTTGGGCATTTTTTTTTATGTAAATACTAGGTACTTACCTATACCTACCCTTAGCACCAACCATTATCGAATTTGAACAGTTTGCGAGTGCGAAATGTCAATGTCAAATTTTGTATCGAAACTCTCTTGGAACTTGAACAGCAGCGCCACAACGGAACGAGAACTAAAAATCAGTATACAATTCACAATAACTATTCGAATTCGATATAGGTTCGTGCTAACTTTATTTTCTCTATTAACAAACATATTGTTTTTGTATGTTGCAATCTCTGCACAATGACTATTACTGCGCCATAAAGCGCCTACTGACGTGCCTGCCGCAGGAACAATCTAGGGTGCACGGCGGTCGGCCCAATATCAGCTTGTCTGTACACACATGCCTGCTATTCAGTGTTCGGGCGTATGTTGAGCTAAACACACGCGTTGATGATGGTCCCAGTGTTATCAAAAAATAGGTTACCGTAAATGGAAATACTGGGTGAAGAATTGGCAACAGAAAGAAATGTGTTGTAAATAAGTAATGTTTATGATTAGAAAAATATCCACGCGAACCTGGCAGCAGACGCTTTTAACGAAAAAAGCGTTAGTTATCCGACCAAATTTTAAAAAAGTGCATTTATTTACGTCGCATTATAATAATTCGCATGCTGTATTAACCGGCTCCCGAAAGATGGCACGCCGACGCGGCGCTGTAGTCGCGCGTTCTATGGCTGTGATGCTGTGAAATATTTAGTTCCAAGGAATTCCGCGTACCCATTTTTCGATACTTAGTGGACTAGAAGGGTCGAAGTATGTAGTTTCCTGGCAAAAACACAGATGGCGGGATTTGCACTTTTTAAGTAAAAAATATATTTGCACTTTTTTAAGTGAAAAGCTTACTCACACTTTTTAAGTGAAAAGCTTATAACGCTTATACTTAAAAGCGTGCTTACAAGCTTAATATTTCGTTTAAACGCCCACCGCTAGTGACAGCTACTATAACCGACTGATTGAGAAATTGGCCCAATCGTGCTACACACGCGGCAACGTGCAGGGCGGTTGGGACAATCTAGTGAGCAAGGGTGGTAACGCGCTCCTGCCGCCCTGCATTTAGAAAATTGCCCCAATTTGCCTACACACATCACAATTCAGGAGGCAATTTAGGGTCATCCCCACTCTTACACCCTACATTGTCCCTGCGGCAGGCATGTCAGTAGGCGCTTTTACAGAGTAGGTACCTGACTAAGTAGCGCCGGTACTGGTAAGATTCAGGTGATGGCGCAGCATCAAGAACTCGGCTACTTAGAGTAGATTTAGCGTGTTTGGGCTCATAAGCATAGTCTCAATAAATAAATGACAATTGAATCGTTGTTTCTAATGTGTCCAGTGGAGGATTAACCTAGAAGCAAGAGTAGCAAACGGTACTCTTATAAAAACCTCTTTTTAACTCCCGACGCAAAAAAAGTGGTATTATAAGTTTGACGTGTCTGTGTGTCTGTCTGAAGCATCGTAACTCCTGAATACACGGACCGATTAAGATATTTTTTTCATCTGATCGCTCGTTTTTAATTAGTTTTTAATCTAACAAGAGATGATGTCTTGCTTAAAACCTGAAAAGTTAGTACAGTACCATAACCGTCAACGACGTCTGCCGGTTCGGGTCGCCACATTGCCATTCCCATCATGCATCGCACGAGAGTAAATGTATTCTATGATCTCAAGCGGACGCCTCTTAATAAGTACAAAATATCTAAACACTGCAGGAACTTAGTAGACCTTGTATGATATGACCTTGATTCATGGACAAAACTAATTACGTCGATGTTGCACACGCGCAATTTCTAGGTACCTATGTAGTGGTAGATATAGATATGTGATTATTATACTTCTTCACTTAGCGGTCCCCTGACGTGACAACGCTCATCTTAAAAATATTAATAGGTTTTTTTAATGATTGGAGTTAAAATCCAGATATCAGCTTTGCCTTACCTCCATGGAACACTCCGTGCTCCATGCTCACCTCTTACTGATGGCTATTAATAATATCTAATCACATTACATTTGTTATAAAATAAAACATTGTTCAAATATAATAACCAATTATTTTATTAACACATCTTATATGCATAAAACATTTTTATAATTAATTACGTACATCTTAAAGGAGTTTTATGATAACCGAATGCTAGTCCTTTGAAACTTTTATGTCATCCTTACTGAATATCTTTTTATATACCTTATGAACAAGTTGTTTGTTTTCATACCCCCATGCAAGGAGTGTAAAAAAGAAACATATTGCACCAACAAATATGTGTGTGGTAACAGAATTACTTAATAACTTGTTTTCAGAAACTTTACAGATACATCCAACAACAAACAAGGTCAACAAAAATATTTTTCCTACATGCAGTCCCTCCAATGGCTTATAGCCAGTGTCTTTATATTTATTATTTATGAAATGGATACTGTGCATTATTCTTGCAAACATATTAATACAATTAGATATTATAAAACCAACTGGTCCAAATATATATGTCAAAACATAGGATAAAAACAAAAAACTTATTGAAAAGAATACCATCAAATAATTGTAACTGTTTAGTTGTGCACTAGTCATGGTGGCAAATGTGTAGCATTCAGTAACACCATTGATAGCTAGCAATACAATGGCTAAACAATGGCTTCTAAGTAGTTGTACAGGTAGTCCACTTGCAACAAAAGCTTCACCACCATACAACAACAATAAAGTTTTTGAATAACTTTGACCAAAAACTAACACAATCAGACCTATAGAACTCACTGTCTTACAAACTTGAGATAAGACTGTACATGACTCCTGAACTTTATACTGATCCTGTTTATGTAAAGGCAAATCTCTACTTACCATTTGAGTAAAATAAAAATAACTACTATCTTCAATGGGTCTAAAAACAAATCTAGCAGCTAGACTTCCTAAGTTATTTACCACATCATATGTAGCCTGCTCAGAAAAAGTCATAACTGGACTTGCAGACATGACATATTTCTCTCCTTCTGTCAATAACTGTTTAACAACACCTTGCTTTGCAAAACTTATGGTCAGTGTACTCAATTTTTTGTTAAATGTTGAATTTATTGATCCTAAGTAGTTAGGTAAAAAATCTCTGATAGAAGTAAATTGGAAATCATCCATATTATTATATAATCTGTGCAAGACTGAATCAGATACAAGTTTACTTTTTATTGCACCTTTTGCATAAAGTGGTTTATTTTTAATGTACCAATAGAAAAATATATAATAACTTACAACTATAGTGCCAATACTGGCAACCTGTGCTACTGAAAACGCTATCAGTGCTAAAGACCTGTCATAAATTATTATAGACAAAAATAGTACAGTTCTGATAAAAATATGTAGTGTGTCTAGAGCAATTTTCAGTTTCACAAAACAAAACAGTTGAGCTACAAGGACCATGTTAGCAGAAGTAAGTTCAAGGATACAGGACAAAGCCACACTCCAGCACCCAAATGTATATTGGAATGCGTGTTCTGGATGACCAAGTGGCAAAATATTCAACCAGATATACACAAATAATAATGACAAAACACAACTAAGAGGAACAGCAAGCCATATTTGGTTTATAATGTGACGCCAGCTTAATTCATCCTTCTGACCTAAGCATGCCCTATAAAATGGTTCCCTACTTAGAAATAAAATAGTACTTTCTAACAAGAGTAATCTTACATTCATTATTCCTAGGACTTCATGTCCAACATTTCTAATCACCCAGGCATTTATAATAAAAGTAACACACCGAAACAAAATTTGAAATATAATATTAAATGAAGCATTCTCCAAGCTACTCATTAATAAATTTCGTCCCATTTCTGAAATTACTTACAACTAGTTTTGATCACACATTAACAGTATTTCCCTCGGTGGGCATTAATGAGATACTTCTTTTAACAACATATATCTTTTTATTTGAGAGACATATCACAAACCAATGGTCATCATATGTTATAGAAATTTTCTTGAATGGTTCATTTGATGCAAAAGCAACAGGATCAACTCTGTAAAATGAAAATGAACACTTTTAAATCTACATGGGACAAACAAAGACATCATCATCATCATCAGCCTATTAATATCCCCACTGCTGGGGCACAGGCCTTCCCTATGGATGGAATAGGGAGATTGGGCCATGACCCGCCACGCGGGCCCAGGGAGGATTGGTCGGTGCTAACGACTGCAGATGCAACCGGGACCAACGGCTTAACGTGCCTTCCGAAGCACAGAGGAGCTCGAAAGAAAGACATGCAAAAGAAAAAAAAATAATGTAATCCGTACTTTTGAATAATTGGGAAATAGGTTCAATAAGAGAAAAATAAAAACATAAGATAAAATAGGTATTTTCAAAGCAATGTAGTAATACAACGTGACCTTTTCTACAAAAATGTTCGAGTATCACCTCTTGGGCCCTGGAAGTACAATTTTACCCATCAAACGAGTACGTTTGCATAATGTTTTACAGAAAAGATACTAATGTACAATCCTTATCATATTACTCACTTGCTAGATAGGGATATGAGATCAGTTACAATTGTCGCAACACGCTCGTCGTTTTCCAGCTCTCCACCTGATTCAAGGACGGCTCCGTCCTCAGTTAACACCAGAAATCCAATTTGATCTGGAATTTTGTCCATTATAAGTGCAAAATGTTCACCAACTAAGACTTTTTATGGAATATATTCCCAAACAAGTCATTAAAATGGAAAATTTTGTACAGAATTAAGCAGGTACACAATGAACGAACAAACAGACAATCAAGTCAAGTCAAGTCAACGCAGATGACAATGATACTGACAGTGACAGCAATGCAGTGTTACCAGAAATCCCTTTCGCCTCCCCGCAAAACTTACCCGAAATCCCCCAAAAATACAGGTTTTTGAAGAAAAATCCCCCCAACATGCAAAATATTTATTAAAAATACAATATTTACTACATAGTATGTATTTTTGCAACAGCATCCATTACTGGAGCAACATCTTCGCACGCGTCTCGACTCTCATCTCATCATCTTCGACTAAGCGAGACGGAATGGACCGAAGAATACTTTTTTTAGTGGGTTTTTAATACGTAGCACAGTCACCGAGCCGATCCCCTACCTGTAATTTACAAAGACGTGCCTCGACCGAGCAATTAGGTAGGTACCGTTGTGCCGCGATACAGTTGATTCATTCAGATAAAGTAAATAGGGTCAGTGTACTCGTCCGAGCAAAAACATTTCTTGTTTTGTCTGAGGTATCACTACGATTGCCCGGCGGCACCGCGCCGGCACTGTATTCATGCAACGGGCCGTGGCCGAGTCGAGACGGGACCAAGTTTTTTCCGAGCGGTATTTCATTTATTGCTCGGTTATCAGTTGGTTAATATAAGTTAACTAGAGGAGCTCGATGGCGCAGGTGGTTAGCGCGTTTGGCTGCGATCGTTGAAGTTAAGCAACTTTCGCAGTGGTCGGTCATTGGATGGAAATCTTCTATTTCGAGTTCCTCCGGCTGCATCTGCAGACGTTAGCACCAGCCAACTCGCGCTAGGCCCGCGTGGACCCACCACACGGGCCCAATCTCCCTATTCCATCCATAGGGAAGGCCTGGGCCCCAGCAATGGGGGCATTAATAGGCTGATGATAATGATTAGTTCTGCTACGACCGACACGGTCTAACGTGAATCATCCTTGAAAATTTCTCGCATCGCAAATTCTCAATCCAGCGCATCTATCTTATACCTAGTACCTACCTATGGTTATTGTTATATGAGTAGTTAGTCTATGTCTGTCGTCCTTAGTCTATACTTGTCAGTACGTCGATATTATAAAATTGCTGAGCCAAACAGTCGTCTTATTTATAATTATATATTATAACATGGTGTCAGAAGTGCAAGACCTATAATGAATCCGTCGGGTCAGTCAGAAGAACGAAAACATAAAACCAAAATCAACATGCCGGGATGCAGTAATATGACGATGACTGGTAATCTCGCGAACAATTGGAGAAAATGGTATCAATCATTCAAATTATATTTAACAGCATCTGGTTTAGACGAGGAGAGTGACCAGCGAAAAGTCGCAATTCTACTTCATCTCATCGGAGCAGAATGTCTCGAAATTTTCAATTCGCTCCAGAAGGACGAAGAAAATATTACTTTCAAAGAGTTGGTTACACTTTTCCAAAATCATTTTGTCCCAAAAACTAATGTCACATTTGAATGTCATCAATTCTTCACATACAAGCAGTCAGAGGAGCAGACCATCGACCAGTTCGTAACCGAGCTAAAGGCAAAAAGTCAAACATGTGATTTAGGCACGCTCCAAGAGCGACTCATAAAAGTTATGTTTATATGTAATATGCACAGCAGATACAATGATGTCCGAGAAAAACTCCTTTTGGATGATTCGCTTGACCTGGATAAAGCTGTTCAGATGGCTAAAGCTATGGTGATTACCAAGAACAGAGCTGACGTCTTACAATCAGATCAACCATCAATATTTAATATCCGAAGTCGATCTAAAAATGAAACTAGCTCTACAAGGTCCAGATCAAAGTCCAGATCGTCACAAAGTCGCGATCAACAAGTCTGTGGAAGATGCGGACAAAAACACAGAATCAAGTGTCCGGCAACCAAGGCAAGATGCCGCAAATGTCGTTCTATTGGTCATTACGAGGTCATGTGCAAAACCAAACGAGTCAATCTGATGCAGTCAACGTCAGATGAACATAAAGAAGATGACATGCGTCACGAAAATTCATTTTTCGTTGGACATCTTCAGTCTAGAAAATCAAAAGGAGAATGGAAAATTGACCTGCAGATTAACGATAGAATAGTCGAAGCTCTACTGGATACTGGTAGTGACTTGAATGTTATGTCTCTGGAAACCTATCGATCACTACAGCTGCAAGAAAATATGTCGCCGTGCAACATTATTGTAACGTCATACAGCGGTGATAACGTCAAAATCATTGGGCAACAAAATATTTTATGTCATTTCAGTCTAAATCGTGATTTTTCTAATAAGTTTATTTTATTTGTCATTGCAGATGTTAGTTCGCCAACTGTACTAGGCAGAAGTACTTGTTCGGAAATTGGTTTTATCAAAAGAGTTTTGTCTATCAATCAACAACAAACATCAGGCAGTCAAGTTAAAAACAAAATGGTCAGTAAGTCAAGTCTATTAACGAAGTCGATGTCAGACAACAATAACAATAAGTCAAAGTCAAACTCGATAAATTTTAGTAAAAATTGTCAAAATAATTTAAGTTCTTTGCTTGAACAATATAAATCAGTCTTCGTGGGTCTCGGTTGTATGCCAGGCGAATGCCATATAAGTATCAATCCAGAGGTGCGACCGAAAATTGATGCGCCACGAAAAGTCCCATTTGCGTTTTATGACAGGCTACAACAAGAATTAGATAAAATGGAAAATATGGACGTCATCACAAAAGTGACTGAACCAACAGACTTGGTAAGTTCACTTTTGTTAGTTGAAAAAAAGAACGGGCAACTTAGGGTTTGTCTAGACCCAAGAAATTTGAATCAGGGTATTCGTAGGTCTCATTACCCTATTCCAACGGTAGACGTAGTACGTTCTAAGGTTGTAGGAGCTAAATATTTTTCAAATCTTGACGCCTGCAGTGGATTTTGGATGTGCTGCTTGGATAGAGAGAGTTCTTACCTCACAACCTTTAATACACCGTTTGGGCGTTATCGTTTTAAACGCCTCCCGTTTGGTGTCAATTGTGCACCGGAATATTTTCACAGAGTCATGACAGAAACGTTTAGCGATATTCCAGGGCTAGTTGTGTACAGTGACGATATTTTAGTCTGCGGAGAGTCCGTACAACAACATACTGAACGACTAAAGCTAGTATTTGAAAAGGCTTTACAATATAACGTCAGGTTTAATCGTGAAAAACGTTCATTTGCTAACACAGAGGTTAAGTACCTAGGACATATTTTTTCTGGTGATGGAGTAAAACCAGATCCGCAAAAAGTAAAAGCTATCACAGAAATGCCGTCGCCAGCATGTGTAAAGGACTTACAACGGTTTCTTGGTATGTTAAATTACCTTAGTCCTTATATTAGTAATTTAGCGGATGAAGTCAGTCCGTTGAGAGATCTTTTGAAAAAAGATTCAACTTTTATATGGAATCCTAATTACGAGAACATATTTTGTCGTCTTAAAAGTTTAATTTGTCGTTCTCCGGTATTAGCTCATTTCGACGTGAAAGTTCCAATAACATTGTCTGTAGATGCGAGTAGTACAGCAGTCGGAGCTGTCTTATTACAAAAAGAACACCCTATTTATTATGCTTCTAAAACGCTTACTTCTACTCAGCAAAGAATGGCTCAAATTGAAAAAGAGCTATATGCGATTGTCTTCGCATGTGTCAGATTTCATCAATTCATTTATGGACAAACAGTTACGGTGGAAACAGATCATCGTCCACTAGTCTTAGTCTTAGTCTTAGTAGTACGGCGGGCTGTTTCCGCAACTCGACACCTAGTGCCTATTTTGCGTGGGGATTGGCATCAGTCCTGCCATCCCAGCTCCTCCAGAAAGCTCAGCAGTCCCCGAATGTTGCTGCAGGCCTCTACTATTGTCTTCGGGCTTCCCATTAGAGAAGTCCTTTGTCTTGCAACGCCCCTGCACTCCAGTAGGACATGGGCGCTCGTCTCATCCGCCTCCAGGCAGGCTCTGCACAGAGGGCTGTCAGAAATACCTATATTACAAAGGTGTTTGTTAAAGTAGCCGTGACCCGTGAGTATACCCACGATTTGTTTCAGGGCTTGTCTAGGTAGTCTGATTAACTTACGTGTTAGCTGCAGGTTTACCTTAGGAACGGCTTCCCTGGCTTGCTTGCAGTCCGTGAGTTTTGACCAGTAATCGTCGTGTTGTCGTTGAGAGCGCTCCCTTATCCAGGTTCGCAGCTGCCGATAGGGTATGGGTATAATTGGCTCCGGACCAATGGCCGTCCTGCTAGACCCCTCCCTGGCTAAGCAGTCCGCCGCATCGTTACCCCTTGAGCCACTGTGTCCTTTAATCCACTGTAGGGTCAATCTATTGTCGTTAGCAATATTAGTCAACTTACTGTGGCATTCGTAAATTAAGCCTGATGTCATTATATTGTTGTCCAGTGCCTGTAGGACAGAAGCGCTGTCAGAGAGGATACGAATGTGTTTACCTCTTACCCCGCGACATTCTATCGCCTCAGCAGCTCTGATGATGCCCACACACTCTGCCTGGAAGACCGTGTTATAGGCACCCAAAGCTGTCGAGATGTGTATATTCAGGTCTTCGGAGAAGACACCCGAGCCCGTACCACAGTTGGTTTTTGAACCGTCTGTGTAGACCCTCAACTCCTTATGCAGACAACGGTCCGGGGTGTCTTCATAAAGTTGAATTTTGTATTTTTTGTCAAATACGTACGTCTTAGGAATAAGGTCGTTTACTGCTGCAAAGTACGGAAAGTGCCTGTGTATGTCTGCCAAGATGCTGGTGTGCGGGGAGTTGTTGTCTCTCCAATGCCCCAGCATGCTTAGGCGCGTGGCTGTACATGCAGCTTCCTGTTGTATAAACAAGTGGAGTGGTCTCACGTTAAGTATTGTCTCCAGTGCTGATGTGGGAGTGGTTTTCATGCAGCCGGTGATTGCACAGCATGCCCGCCTCTGGAGACGTCTTAACTTATTAATTGTCGTTACCTGGATTGTCTTGGTCCACCATACTACTGCTGCATAGCTGATGATGGGCCTAATTATGGTCGTGTATAGCCACTTAACAATGAGCGGTGATAGTCCCCAA